GTCACATGAAACAACAGCGGAAAAACACAGCCCTTGCAGCAACAGGAAGAGTATTTTCTGTAATTTTTTCCTCATTGTGCTGTGCATGTCAGGCCCAATGATTGTGATGCAGTTGGAGAGTGTGCATGCTATGGGAAGCCTTGGCCAAGCTGGCAGGGAGGGAAACAGATTACCATTTCCACAGTGTGTGTTGTTGGGGCCCCGGAGCTGACTTCTGAGCTGCTACTACCTCTGCTAGACTGGAGCTGTCAGAGCTGCTCTGCTCATGTCTGTGTCATCACCACAACTAACACTTCTACTACTACTGCATGCTCAGATGAGCAGACATAGACTTATATATTCAGTATGTGCATACTCATAAAAACACGCTGAATCACATGCATGCATGCACACATACTCACACATGCTTAAAAGCACACAGTCATCTGCACTAGGGTTTGACCGTCACTGTGTGTGACCAGGTATAAACCCCACCCCCCGGGTTGTAAGGTTCATCACGCTCTTGCACACACCAGCACATACATTTAGACCAAACGTTCAATAATTCACACTAGTGGTTTCAATGCATGCAAATTAAGAGTCAGAAACAGAATGAGAAATACTATATTTGTCCTGAGGGGGAAATTGTGTCATTTGAGTCCCTCATATACTCAGTAAAACAGTAAAAATGTAGGATTATTTAATGTAAAAGAAGAAAATATATAAATGAAATGATTTATTGCACAAGAGCAGAGTATTCAGAGGTTAAAGGTATGAACAAAAGCATAGCGTGTATGAACAAGAGGGCAGTTTGCAGCATTGAACAGTAAGGATATTGAATATATTTCACAGTTGGCTCAATGAAGACAATATGTGTTTTTGAGAGGGTGGTTGGCGTGCTACTTTGACCACCAGCAGAAGGTGGAGCACTAGCTCCACCCACACAAAGTCACAAGCTTGTAGATTGGTTAGTTCAGTCAGTATAGCCACTCTCTGTCTGTTGTACCAGTACACAATAGCACACAGGGTAGCATGGGCCACCCATGCTTTTAGCATTGTCCTACAGATGTTAAAGGACCTTGGCTGCCTCGGGAAGTAGAGACTGCTCAGACCTTTCTTGTTGACAGCTTTGGTGTACTTGGCCCAGTCCACTTTATTGTTCAAGTGCACCCAAGGCACCTGCAGTCCTCAACAAAGTCCATACTGAACCCCCCGGGCTGGAAACAGAAGTCACCGGTGGCTCAACCTACTAAGGTCCACATTAGCTTTTCTCAGATTATCAACTCTGAAAACAAAGAGGTCCTACATAGAGACACCTGAGGTACACTTGACTCTTGGGCCTGAGCCAATACGCCAAATCGAGCCAAACAGAAAGTTTTGAGGGAGTCTTTTCATTTCTTAGTTCTTGTGTAAAGAAACTATTTGTACTTTTCTCTCATATATGGCATGGTTTGTTGAAAGTGGTGTTATTTTGCATGATCAAAATCCTATATTTAATTTTTTTATGATGTTACTCCGCCTTTACTTGGTACCATTTGCCCGCTTATTTTAGAATATTTTATCTCAGTTCTCCTATAGTATCTAAATCGTCAAATAGAGCCAGATACCATCACCAGAGCCAAGAAGATATGTCGACTGAGGTGTTATTCAGGAGAAATGCAGCTATAACTGTAAGGAACATAAATAGAGGATTCCACATAATAACTCATGTAGGGCCTTGTGCATAAAGCAGTGTCTGAAGGGATATTATTATCATCACTCCCCCAATCTCAGCTGTGCTGAGCTTGTATATGCTTTCAAGGAATTATGATCTTAGAGCCGAGACACCAATAATAAACTCTATACATGATGCTGCATTCACATAATCTGTTTCCCGAGATAAGGCTAACTGTAAGGGCATAAAGCCTGTGAACTAGTTCAGGAAGATGGAGTCTGATGCTACTCAGACACAAAGTTCTGAAAGTATTAGAATTCAAACACTCCCCGCATTAGTGTGTGTACTAATGTTAAGGATAAGGTACATATTTCTAATGCACGTGTATATTCATCTGACCCTGGTCTTGATGGACCTATTTGTCTCAGCTTCATCTGTTGATCCATTTTAGAGAAATTCAGTTGTCCACATCCAAGGTTTTTGATCATCCAGACCCAGCTCCGGAAGAAGAATTTCTCAGTTCTACCTTCAAACCTGAGGCCCTATTTTCCATCAGATAAAAGCCTCCCAGGAGGAAGCAGATCTTGACAGCCCAAAGAAAGATGAAACAAGAAGCAGGAACTATAAAAAAAAGGTCATTACACAGAGAGAAACAACCCCCTTTAGCCAATATTCAACACAATTCAGTCTTTAAACTGAGCACCCAACGCCGGAATACTTGGTCCTTCCACCTCCCACCTCCCACCGAGATTTTCAATCATGGAAAGCATTCTTGTTTAGCCAGAGAAAACAGCTGGGTGGTCAGGCCCCCCTGCATGGAGCTCCAACAATCACATCATATCCGACCCAAGCAGGAGACATTGCGTCAAGGTTCTCTAGTTCCCCCCTCTTTTCAAACTCACTCTAGTGGACTACATGAATGCCAGGGTACCCATTTTTAAGTTATTAGGGGCCTCATGTTTTCTATGATTAACACTTGATACAGCCTATGGGTGTACGAAGATTGCGTGGGATACGCTGAGCCAAGCGTCATCACAGCGGCTCTTTCGCCGAATGTGTACAATGCTACTGCGCAAGTGGTGGTTCCAGGAAATGGAGAAAATCTCAGGAATACAGAGAGCAATTCTGCCTCAAATTCATATAATAACAGAAGGCGGAACCAAGTTGTCCATAGTATATACAGTCTATGGTTGCAACTTGCAAGAGCGTGCGTCACAACTATTTTTAAAGCTCTCCCAAGCCGTTCTGACTTTTGGGCATACCTCTGGGTCTGAGTATTCTTCTGTAAAGTTCACCTCTACTAGAAAATAGCTCAAATTATTCACCACCATCCTCCTAACTCTTCTAACAGATTCTGCTCCTTGGCCATCTAATCTATTTATTAGGACTACAGTTTTTCCCTATCTCATGATCCAATGGTCTACAGAAAACAAAGAACACAAAGCCCATGGCTTCAATGGAGTCACTTCCAATACTAAATAATCCATCAACACTTTCAGTCAATAAGCTGAACCAAATTAACCCCTCCAATCTTCTGTTTCCTTCTTGTTCCCTAACAATAGTTTTTCTTCTTCTGATGTATCATTTGAATCCTGGGCCGCTGGTCCTCTCATGGCAACCACAGTTACATCCATATACAAGTCAAAGACCTCAGAGCTACATAACAGTGCCTTAAATTCATACAAGTTTTGCAGGACCATCATGCCTCAGTGCAAATGCCCTGTTGAACCATCCTTACAATGTAAACATCACACAGAGTGATTACCGCCGAGATCAAAGCTTGTCAACATTGTTCTCTTAACTAAGTTGTCAGTGCATGGCTTCTTCTTCTCATATGCGTTGCCTGAAGCGGCAGTGGTCTCCTGACCTCTGAACAGCAGTTGCTTGATGATGCTGTGATTTCAAACACTTCCTCTTACTGAGCTTTGACTCAGTGATCTCAGCTTGAAGCTGAGAGATTTCTCAACCTTAGTTTACAGATTTTCTTCCTATTTCCAGTAGACACAATCCAGGGCAGAGGAAAGCTGCTGAAACATACAAGATGGGGACGTAGCCAGCCTTGTTATAGTTCCAAAGACCCTCCACTGAATCTCCTCCAACTTTATATTCTAGGACAGTCATGGCAAACCTTGTTCAGTCCTTTTTGTCTTCCTCTACAGCTTTGTTGAGGACCACTGTTTGTCCTGCATTTCTGATTTCTCAAATGAGACAACAGTCTTGATTTTCATAGTTCATTCGAGAAAACAAAGCTATGGGGTTACTTCTGTTTTGCATGACAGAAATATGCCAAAAAACACAATGATTCAAAGATCCAGAGTAGGGGCGGGGACCAAAAAATGTCAGGTAAAGACTAAAATGAGACTTTAAATGTGTTACCAATGCTTCATCCTTTCACAATTAAAGGATAATTGTTTTCCTGGATTGGAAGACAGTCATCCTCACTGCTAAATCCCTGTTGGTTGTCTAATTATATCATCTTGGGAAATGAGAAGGTCAAAGACACAAGAAATCTGTGTTTAAAATACAATTACGTTACACATCCACACCTGCTCTCTAAGAACTGAGTTGGTGCAATTAGCTGTAAAAAGACCAGACTTGAAGGGCATCCCAAAAAGACAAGAATGAGACAAACTAAACCTTTAAAATAACCATTACCTTTAAATTTCTTCCATTAAACACCATCTTTGTTTTAAAATAAGCTCAGGATATCTGACTTTGGCTTAGATACCAGATCAAGTTTCCTGTTTTTTTTTTTGTTTTTACTTTTATGAATTCCTTAAAATAAAGACGTCACATTCTGTCCCACTCGCTCACTGCTTTCCATGAAGATTTGGTTCAAGTTTGGATTAAAACAAATGCAGGCTTACTCCTGCAGAACGGCAGGGAGATGGATGGTGCATTGTTGCTGGGAGGGGTTGGCTGTCAGCCACCGCAGCTATAGTGTCTGTGCTGGCACCGCTCTCAGTGCAGGTGTCACACGGATATAACTGCAGAAGGGACATTTTGTCAGAAACTATCAGCTGAGTTTACAGGGGACATGTCTCGCAGTGATGGAGTTGATTGAATATTTATTTTCACTTATGTAATGAGCCGGGCATTAGCATAACATTGAGCAGGTCGGGTTCAAACATACGCATCTCACTCAGCTGTAGGGAGGGGATATTTGAAGAGCCTTTGAAACCTTTGAAGGTAGTGCTTGTGGCTTTTCAGGGAGTCAAATGTATTAACTGCCACCCCCTATCTATACACACACTCACACACATACACACACACACAAGCACACACTTTTCAACCGCCTATAAAGACTATGCTTTTTACCAGTTTTACACAAATATAACCAATTCTTCAACAGCAAGACGACTTGGCATTATAATCTATAGGTCTTTATTTATTTTTGCAGATAACATATATTGCAATCATGCTTTTCCATATAACACCATCTAAAGACATTTATTATATTTTTTTTACATAGAATATTTTACATTAGGCCCATGAAACAGCTAGAAATATACAAAACAATAATCTCTGACTAGACATCTCTATAACTTTATTATTACATTATTATCATTATTGTTATCATCATCTTTATTATTACTCTATGCTGTTATTGTAATTATAATTTTACAGTTGAGAGAGATATGTGCTTTAGTTTCTGAGATAATATTATTGCAGAAAACAGCAAATAATATCACATTTTTTTGTTCAACATTTAGACAAAAGAAAAAAGAAAAAAACTCAGGTTGTACGGACATTCACAGATACATGTATTACACAGTCCAGTTTACAACATCATTCAAAAGAGAAAACTGCAGTATTGTAACTTTATACAAAATTCACGGAACCCTTTGTCATTGCACATTGTTAATTCACGTCTTTGAGAAAGGAAAACATAAATAAAAGGAAACAGACAGGACTGATTCAACCTGATTCCTTTTACATTGACCTGACACAGAAGCACAGTTTCTCAATTCTTCTTCAGAGTGATACAGCCATGTACGTACTGTACGTCAGCTTCTACATGTTGGTTTGTACCGTATATATTGCCAAGCAAACTTGATATGTATCAGTTAGTTTTTCTTTATCCTAAGAGGAGTAGATTTAGTGGTGTTGGCCTGTTAAGCATCTGGATTTGTCCGTCCATTTCAAAAGTGCTTTTGCCAGCTTTGTTCTTTTACTAAGCGAAACTCTCTCTCTCCTGATCTGACAGTAGAAATCTGTACTTTCCACAGGATAGAAACACAGTATGGCTTCTACTAAGATTAGTCAGTGAAGGCTATCACAGTTCATTTACACTGAAAGAAATGATGCTAGCTGAGTAGTTTCACAGAAAAGAGGCAACCATTTGGATCAGCTTTTGGGTGTGCCCGACTGATTTTTACATATCGATTCTTAGTACTGATTCGTGTTTTCGTATTCTTTACGGCTTGATTTAGCCTTTTGGATCAATTGGAGAATCTGGCGAAAGTTTCATAATTTGCACGTCTTAAAGTAGAGCATTAATTTTTTCAGTGTATAACGGTAGTATCTGAGAGAATTTGGTCACATCCACCTTTGTTCCTGAGAAATGGGTTACTAAATAGATAAACAAGTAAACGGTTCCAGTCAGATAGTGGTAGCTATCAAAGAAATCCTTCATACAGTCTCCAACGCAGCTTATTCATCCTCACAGTTTAACATATAGATAAAATTAGTTCTGAACTGGTTGTCATATTTGAGAAGGATATTTGGATTTATCAAACAATCTGAGGGAGGAATATAGTACCCACAGTGCAAATGTGTAATTTCTGTGTTGACCACACCTTTTTTGTTAAAGATGGTAGTTCACACATCCAAAAATTGTGCTTTAAGGTGATTTCATATTTCTCATTGTACCCTGCTGAGATTAAATGGATGCATGATCTGACCCACATAGTCAACAGGGTCAAGTGTCTCCTCCAATCTTTCAACTCGAGTATAATTTTGGTCCTTCTCACTCTCACATATAGAAAAAAGACCTAAATATAATTCTACAAAAAAGATTCAGACAACATATAAAGTTATTGTTCTTTAGAAAACAAAGAAACAATTATAACAGTCTCTAGCTATGTTTTCTTTGTAAGTTATTTTGCTGTTGTCACAAGTTTAAATTAAGCCAAAAAGGAAAGTTGGACGCTTCGAAATTTCAAACTGTGCTTGTGCTTTTCAAAGGAGCCCCAGACATGGGTGGTAAACATTTCAGGCGAGCTGCAGGATTCTGCAAGAGGGGTGTTGAGGAGGGTTAGGGGGTATTCGCTGGCTAAATAATATTTTATACATACAAGCCTTACCTGTTGCACATTCCCATATCTCTATGCCTTTGAGTGGTTTTCTAATTTTAAATTTACAAACTTTCAAATTGAGTTTTCACTTACTACTCTGAATTCTTTTTAATTAATTTATTTCATTTACAAGCAAAATGCAATTAACCAATAATTTTCTTTGTACAGTAGTTGTAGCTTAGTAGATTAATAACTTCAAAGAAGCACAACACTATCGAATCAATGCAGGCCTCCAAATTTAAATTATATATTCAATATACAGTAATGTCCTAAGTCACATCTTCTTTTCTAAAAAGGCTAACTTTTTTGCATAATGAAATTCATAATATCACAACAATTTTGCTGGGTATTTTTTATAACTCTGTATTGTACAAATAAACAAACGAAAAAAAATCCCTAAAAATAAGCATGTAATCAGGTTGGTCTCACGTGTCCCCAGGAGGTAGGTGAATAAAAGCAGACATAGAAGTCTGGTGGTCGTTCCCAACCTTGATTACGAATCTTCTGTGTAGAGAACCAGTCTGTCTGCTGAGACAGAGAGACAGGCAGAAGTTTCTAGATGTAGGCTTCCTCATTGGCGGGGTTCTGACTCTGGTTTTCTGTCTGCTGGTCTGGGCCATTTTCCTGAGCCCTCACCAGTACAACAGGTTTGATCATCATCCGCAGACGCTGAAAGGGGGAAAAAAAACACACATATGAACATGCTTGAATACGATTAGTTGGACCCAAACAGCTGCAAAGTTTGTGATTGGCTTCCTAAGCTGTTAGAAAACACACCAGCTACACAGCTGTGAACTTGATGAATGTACAGCCTTGTGTGCTAACACTCTACAGGATGCACTCAAAATGCATTATTTATTTCCCCTGATGTGGTACAAGACTGCATGAATTGATTCACCCCTTAGATACAGGGAAATCAGACTCAATATGCATTACACAAAAAATGTTATAAGGGCTGAAGCAACACGAGATCAAACTATCCCAAATTTGACAAACCTTCTAAATGTTTGGAGCTCATTGGTTGGACTCAGGCTCTGCAGCACACAAAGTATTTCTGTGGAGTGTTTGTGAAACTAAGCGTCAGCCTGGGTGCAGAGCACTAATCAGCTAGATGATTGCTACAATTAGACAATCAGCCATCAGCTGGTACTATAGGATCTGACACCTGCACATCGCCTTTGGCAGCCTCCGTTGCACTGCATGCAATTACGGCCCATTTACTCTCTCAGTGGTGTCTATAAAGCTATCTGTCACTTGGAAGGTATAGATGCAAGCAGACTGTGTATTACTGCAAATCAAAAGCTCTTCATGTAAATAGCATGCCAGTAAAGGTATTATCTCCCATTGATGTGAATCATCAGATCAATAAAACCGCAGCGTAGCATTCTGCTGCATATATATTATGACATTTGCTGAGAGCTCAGAGTTTGGTTTAGCAAAACGGCATCAGGAATTGTTTAACAGAGCTAATTAGAAACTCTATTTTACTAATCCTTTTATCGCTGTTCTGCTCTTCATGGCAATTTATCACAAGTCTACCCAGCATGCCTCTGTGTTTGGTGATTATAAAAGCACTGGAGCACAGTACAGTTATAATGCACGGAGCTAAGTCACTAAGCTGAGCATTTTAACATCTAGAGTGAAGTGTCTCTTCTCTGCTAAATCACATTTCAGGTACTTCTTTCATTACTCACCATTATGTAGATGTAGTAAATGTACGTGAAAGTGATATAAATCCAGGATCGGTATATTCTGGTAGACAAACTGTATTTGATTTTGAATTAGGAGTAAAAATCAAGAGAGTGACCTTGAACGTTTGTTTAAATACTCTTCCATGTTCGAAGCCGATCTACTCAGCTCTGATATTTTGCATTTACATTACATGATCCACCCAAAATGTCATCACCCTCCAAAAAAAAGAACTCTATTTCAGCACTGGATTTATCGTACAGTATGTTCTAATACATTTCAGCCGAAATCTTGCATACCAAGTAATCCACTTGAAGCTCTTAACACTGATCCTGACTCGCTGTCGACTGCAGATTAAAATTCAAAACAGCCCATAGATGTGTGAAACGCTCAGAGGGGGGCTGCACTGATGCTGATGTTTCGAGAAGACTGAGGCTACTGTATCTGCATTACAGTATGGTGCGTATTTACAGACCTTTTATAGACCTTATCGACCAAGTTTGATTGTTTATCATCATTTTGCAACCCTAGCAGCTTTCTTCACAAGGACAATGACGTTTATCCTGTGCAGTGTTGTTGCATTCGTGTTGAATTTCTCTCAGCAACAATAAAAAGAACAGTTTGGGGGTAGTTAGGAAAGCAAGTCTAATACAGACAAGAGTGGATCTACGGGGGTCTTACTTCTTTGTATGTGCCTTTGAGTGTGAGGAACATGTAGCCCATGTAGCCGGGGATGAGGGTCATGGAGGAGAGGGCCATGCACCAGCCGACCCCCTGGCCCCAGGCTGGGAACACGTAGTCACCCATGGTCAGGGGGACCATCTGCACTGCACTGAATAGGAAGACCCCCTGGACAAAAGCAATAAGAAAATACATCTCAGCACTTTTAACATCATATTCAAGGGTATTAAAACTGCAGAACTGCACAACTTTAGTTTGAAGGAGGTTTTCCTGAATTTCTAGGTTATACACAAGAAGAAATGCTATGTTAAAAAACTGAAAGAAAAGAATAGGATTACAAAAAATCAAATAAAAGTAGTCCAGTAGATATGTGACTCTCTTCTTGTACATTACCTTCACGTAAAAAGGTTAGATCAGTAATTCTCTGAAAACAACTCTAGTATAAAACCTCTAAAATTTGTTTTTGATTGTAGGTTAAATTCTGCCTATCATCTCCAAAAAGCACTTACAGCCACAATGAGAGGAGTAAAAACAACCCAGCAGGCCTTCCACCACAAACAGGGCTTGTATCCAATCATCTCTGCGATGTTGTCGTAGAATTTGTTTACACCTGGAACCACAGAAAAGCATGATGAGCAAGGTTGAGTGAAATAAAGTCAGTGATTTATGGCCTTAGACATATTGCTGTTACAAATACTGGATGCCAGATTTTGAGATTTTATGGCTCAATAAGTCAGTCGGCAAAAGACAGATATTTAGGGTTCCTACGCAAGTATTGAAAGTTTTGAAAAGCATGGAAATAAATTTGATTAATTTCTAGGTCTTAAAAAGTAACTGTCTTCTGAAATAGCTAGGTATTTCCAAAAATAATTCTAAAAGGTAGGGTATGGAACAGTATGGAAATCCCAACTGTGTAGGAACCCTGGAAATTTATATTTTTGGTTGTTATCGTTTTAAGGGAATAAGAAATTTACTTTGAGATTGAGAGTGACTCACCATAAAACCAGGAAATGGAGACGCATTCAAAGAAGACCAAGAAGAGCAGACACATTCCACTGGCTGAGTAGTAGTCAAAAAGCTTGAACACGTACAGTCCACCCTGCAGAGGAAAACAAAAGAAAAGGCAAGGGAAGGTTAAAGGAGAACACTAAAGAAGTCTTACTTATTCTAACTGGAAAATGTACAGCACAGACAGGACCGGTGCAGATTAAACGTCCCCTTTAAACATTTCATGTCTGTGTCTCGCGTTAACAGGCCATCACGCAGACCAGAGGGACCTGCTTGTGATTGTCAAGTTTGACCCTGTGAAGATCTGCTTTAGTCCGCCTGAAGCAGCGATTTGGGTTGCTGCCTTATTCTAGCAGAACTGTGCTTGTTGCATGCTTGATGGAAATGTAGTTTGGCAGAAGTAAAGGAACAAAGTAGGGTCTTCAAGTGTCACTGGCTGACATGACCTTGGCCTGCAGTGATTCTGTCATTTTTAGCTCTCAAGTGAGTCAACACAGAAGCGTCTTCGCCAACTTTCTGCAGACTTCTGACTCAGTGACTTTGACTTTTCTTTATTTGTTTTACTTTTGAGCCAAATGCTAATATTTTCATGGGTTGCCATTTGCAAGTAATGATAGTAAAAATACGTAAGATATATTTGTGCTGTAATCTGGAAGAAAACTAGGGATTCCCAATCAACTGAATGTATAATTTCAGTTAAAGGGACCAGGGAGTGTTTTTTTTTTTCCAGGAAATCTTTACTGTAAGGACTTTGAACTGCAGACAGCTTCATCCTATGGGAGCATGAATGAGTTAAAGACAAGGGCATGACAATCCTGTGGTTGTATGATATTGTGAGCAAATGTGGCACTTCCACCTATCAAAAATGACAAGATAAGCCTTACAGAGTGTGCAAAATAGTTAGGGTTCATACCCTGGGGAGCATGAATGTGTTTACTCAAAGTGTTTTATACCCTAGACCATATTTTGCCGTTTTTAACAAGGTAAAATATGATCCCTGGAGGTTTTGCTAGCAGAAAGACATCAGAGTTCATCTTCTGAGGACTATGAATGGACAGTAGGGGAGCTGTGGTGACAGGCTTAAATTTTGACCTGGCAGTGGGGCGAGGGAGTAGCTTGAGTGATCCCAAAACCCACCAATAATGCCTTTTAGGGCCTTAAATATAAAAGATACAAGTGTTTATGTTGGCTTCTTCCATGTGACATCTTTTGCTCTGGACCACAATGTTTGACAGGCAAGGGATGACAACTGCTGTGTCATCATCTGTAGTGAAATACAAACATGGTGGTGATTTTCTTATGTTTGCTGGCTAAAATCTGAGGCTGCATGACCCGAACCACCTTAACCAGGAACAGCAGTCTCAGAGGATGTATGACTCTTTGACCTTTTCACCTAAACGCTCTCTGGATTTCACACAAGGGCCTCTTGGCTCGCTGAGTTGAAACCCTGGCTGATTTAACAGTGTTTCAGGTTACTGGGTCACCTGCTGAGGTCATACCACCATCCACTGGAGAATAGAAAGGGTTTAATCATCCTGTGATGATCCCAGACACAGAAATACAGCATTTCAAAAAGATGCATGCAGAGTCAGATTTTCGTATTTACTCAGCTGAACTTGTTAGACTTCGGCAGTATTTCCATAATCACTTAACAAATATCAATCTTGTTACCAAGTAGCTGGCTGTTATGAGAGCTTATTGTCTTGTAATATCGCCAAAAATCATCAGGAGAAATGCATTTACCTGTGTGATGTTGGACAGTCCAATGATGTACGAAATGAGGCAGACAATTGCGATGAAGATCTCTCTGCGCTTTCGTAGGACGTGAGGAAATTCATCAACCAGCGCAGTGATGAAGCCTTCCACGGTGCAGAACTGCAGAGATTGGAAACAGAATATTACTCTGCACATGACATTTTGTTCTAACAAAGACTGTTAATTTCATTTACTCTTCATTTTCAACTTAATTGCTTCAGACATACGCTGAAAAATCAGCATTTTGCCTCCAGTAAAAACTCTAAAACCCCAGTTTTAGCTCATTTCCATGAGATTATCTTTACCTGGCTGTCGATACCCAGCATCAGCAGCATGGAGAAGAAGAGTATGGCCCAGAGAGGGGAGATAGGAAGCTGAGTGACGGCCTCAGGATATGCCAAAAATGCCAGGCCAGGTCCTGAAGAAAGACAAATATGAAAGAAAAAGAAACAATGATGTGAAAAATAGGAATAATTTTGTTCAGCTCTGATGAAAGCTTCAGAATTACAGGGTGGAAAAAAGAACATCTTAAATCCAACGTCCTTTTGTAAGAGGACATTGTGAGAGCTGAATGTCAAACTCCAGTACTTACAAAGGACACACAGTTTTTGTAAAATCTTTGAGCGTTTTTTTCTTTCCAATAAACCCGAAAATCACAGCTGACAAATAGTGACAGGCTTAACGCTTCCCTTTCTGCCTGAAAGAATAACATTAAGCAATTTCAAAGGCTTACTTTTGCACTGTTGCGAGCATCACTTGCTTGTGCCTATTGTCACTATCCAGTTTCAACATTGATTGCAATTACCTGAGGCTGCCACATCAGCGATGGGTCTCTTTGTTACGTTGGCCATGAATCCCACGATGGAGAAGATGACAAAACCAGCGAACATGCTGGTGAAGGAGTTGATGCAGCAGACAATGACAGAATCTCTGAAGGGGGGAGACAAAGCACAAGGCAGCCATTGTCACGCCTGTATCAATTCCTTATCAACCCGTCACACATTGTGGAGAGGCATGGGGGGAGGGGACAGCGGAGAGCCATTTTGCATCCTGCAGTTACACAGCCGCCGAGTACATTCATATTGAACAGTTTCTTTAAAATGGCAGAGAGCTCCAGCTGTTCGGAAACATTTACAACCGCAGACGTATGCGGCCGTGCTACAGACCCGAGCGTTTCAACAACGTGACCGCCAATGACGCAAACCGAACGTCTTTGCCAATGAGTGTAACACGGAGGGGAGAGCCAAAATAATAACATGAGTGAAAGAGCTGGAGGCTCAAATAGTCCCAAAATAGAAGGTGCTGCAGACACCATGTTGCCAGGAAACCAAAAATAATCCCAATGACAGACAAAGACATCTGCACAGTCGTCTTTTAAAATGGATTTTCATGTGACCAGAGCGAGACACAGAACTGCATCTAAACTCATGATAGATGTGGTATTTGTGTAAAAGTCAACACATATCTACACATACCTGTATACGTTGTTATTAAAGGGGTTGTAGCTGCCAAGAGCGATCAGAGAGCCTAATCCCAGCCCGTAGGAAAAGAAGATCTGAGTAGCAGCATCCAGCCATACCTGGGGCACAAAGACGAGAAACCAAGAGGATAAAGATCAGTTTGATGCCTCAGAGGTGAGGATGACTTTTTATTGATGATTTGACCTCTTTTTTTCATTTTGAGCTGGTTAGCCAAGCAGGTTTGATCACCATTTGAGATTTGAGATTAGAGAACCTTTGATGAAGGCAACAACACTTTTGCTTTGAAACTATCACACCTAAGAACAGGACTTGACTCCACAGCTGATGCACCCTGATCCAACATCTTGATTGAAGATTTCCTCACCTTATTCAGCTTCATCTCATTCATTAATTTAGTTTTAGTGATGTAAATAAATATCATTTTTCACACGTTTTGCAGAAAATCATTAAGTAAGATCAATTCCAGTTTTATTTTCTGGACATTAATGCAAACGTTTGTTGACAGATATGCGAGGCCTTTATTTTTAAGTTGCCATAAGCTTGCATTATCACAATAAATGCACATAGAAGCCAAGATGCAGCTAATGTTAGGACTGCTATAATAGGACAGTACCTCGAGTGACGGTAGCATACCTCAGACTCCTTCAGTTTTTCGAAGTCTGGTGTGATATAGAAGAGAATCCCATCAATTGCACCAGGTAGAGAGACGCCACGGCAAAACAGGATGAACAACATGAAGTAAGGGTACGTGGCTGAGAAGTACACCACCTACAGGACACAAAAGCATCATTAAAACAGGGTCTAACTCAGCTGAATCTAACTTTTTTATTATCGCTAGAGCATTACTGAGCTTTAAACATTTGTTCAGCAAGGCAGCAGAGTTTAAGAAGAAGTGAAGAAACCGTTAAGTTCCTCAAGTCATCACTAACAGTGTTACAGTAATGTGACTCCATCCTTGCAGCACAAAGCAGCACAGTGACCCAGTCAGTCACTCCCCTGAGGCAACATGACCCCGGAGTGGTTGGGTTCATAACACTCTCAGTGCACTGTTTTCCTCCTTATCTGAGCTAATTCTGCACTGCTGTATCGAAGTCAGCACAACTTCGTATCATTAATGACCAAATATCCTCAACTAAAAATGAGCTAGTGGATATACAGTGAGTGAAGTAATCAAAGATGAATCTACAGCCAGATATCAAATATTGTGATTGTTTCCTTGGTTTCTTGGTGAGCAGTTAATGTAGACTGAATCGTTTTAGGTTTTTAAATAATGTTTCCTGCCAGATTGCACAGTAATGTCATGGTGTTATCTTGTTATCTTATTTTCTTTTCAGTCTTGTTCGCCTTGTCTCATCACCTTGCTGTGTCTTGTTCTTTGTCATTGTTGTCTATTGTCGGTGTGTTTCTTTTGACCATTTCTGTGGGGTTCTTGTGCAATATGTGTAGGTTGTGTGACTGTGTCTTTGTTAGGTCTAGTACTTAGTGTCATCAGTTGGCAGCTTTATCTGTGCAGCTCTTGGAGTCTAAGACAAATTTCCCTAAGGGGACAATGAAGCGTATCGTATCGAATCATATCGTATCGTATCGTATCATAATCCCAGATTGTGTAACTGAAATAAAAACTCTGAGCCTGTGTACAGGCTCATCAGCATTAAGTCAGTGTTCATTTTCCATGATGGGGTATATTTTAACCTCATGCTTTGTTTGTGTCCTTTATCCTTCCATTTACTTACCTTGCCAGTCCAGCTGACCCCCTTCCAGATGCAGAAATAGACGAGCACCCATGCTATAGCAAGGGTAATAGCCAGTGGGACCCTGATCTCCCCAGGCTTCTCAAGACCGTCGGTCAGCTGGTGCATGTTGCGTCTGCAGGGGGAAGAAGAAAACAGTCTTATTGTAACAAACAAATGCATCCTCATACATAGTTTGTATGCACTGATGCACAAATAAATATGTATACAGTTGTTTGAATATGTACAAAGACCTCTATCTCTGGTCTTATTTTCTTCTCTGCTGAAGCTATTGTAGGCGTCACATGTCTATGTGCATTTTTTACAGTGTTATCCTTCCCCTAAGCATTATTTGAGGCCCTTCGTCGTAAAGCTGCACATTTTTTCTTCCTCGAGACGTATTTGGAGATTGCTGGAGATTAATTGCTTTGATTAACCATTTGTTCCTCCAAATGACCATGTCAGACTCCAACCCTCATCGTCTTCGTATTCACAGTAGGAGCCATGACCTTTCTATGTAGGTTAAATCTATTCCCAACAGAGCAGAATCCTTTTGATCTAAACACTCTCTTATGTTCTGCTTACTCCCAGAACTCCACAACAGCGCTGGTGAGATTCCTGGTGTCACTGATGCTGTAGTTGGTATAGCAGCGATCCGTGTTCCAGGGATTGCCACAACTCTGCCATGGCAGGTCCTGAAATTCAAGAGAAAAAAAAAGAGAGAAAAATCACACAGACAGCTCTTTTTACTTGGACCACTCTCCCACCGCTGGGTCCCATTCTCTGTGGCTGTCGAGCAGCCAAGACCATGATACTCATTGAGATTTCATGCTTTTCTCAGAGGTTTGAATGCCTCATCGCCAAATGCATTTATCAATACCTTGTGTAAGGCGCTAATTATGTGGGAAAGGAAGTAATAAATGTCATACCCTATTAAAGGCTGTGCACTGTTATGTAAGAGATGCTGGCAAGCTGGAGCAGACACTTTACTAAAAAGGTTACCATGTTAAAAAATACAACCTGACAAACAAACAAACAAAATTAAACACAAGGAAAATCTCTATTCTCTTTGGGACTGAGCTATCTTTATTTTAATCACCACAATTTTCTGAAATAATGCAATTTAAACATGACCTTGCACCATTAGGGAATGCTACTAATATACTGGATATAGATATATCAGATACTCACAGCAGTGAAGGAGTTGTACAGATAGTAAATAGCCCAAGAAATGATTACAATGTAATAGATATTAAGCCAGAAGGACAGAACGGCTGCAGCCAGACCCACACCTGAAAATGAGAATAATAACAAAATATTTCAGAGAAGTTTGAAGGTGTTTTCTGAAAGTGGAGTTCAGACTTTTGTACTCTGTTACATAATTACACTGAGCCCTCAACTGGCTATGTCTGTTAACCAACCTGGTCACGCAGCTACGCAACATTAAAATCTTGGACTTGTAGGATACTGTTGAAGTGTTTTTACCTTTGAACATGGGGGCCAGCTTCCACACTCCAAGCCCTCCAATTGACGTGTACTGACCAAGAGCCGTCTCCAGAAAGAACAAGGGCATGCCAGCAAATATGAGGGTCAAAAAGTAGGGAATCAAGAAGGCCCCTGGATGAAAGGAGGGAGGTAAAGGCGTGTAAGTGAAGATGAATCAAAAACCATTAAAATTAATCATAATCCAAAAGAAATTTGATGAATGAGGCAGTTTTCATATTGCGCCCCAAACCACCGAGCAGGCTTTCACGTGTGCGCATTTACGCACAGCTTATAAGAGAGAGAATTACACTTTGGATTTATTTTAATTAAAAACCACCGGAAGCAAACTGGTAGGCTCTGATGTCGCGATGTTTGGATTCCTTTGATGTATGGATAAATGGCAAAAAAAATATCCAAGAATTCCTGATTACCTCCTCCGTTTTTTCCACATAAATAAGGAAATCTCCAGACATTTCCGAGTCCGATTGCGTATCCGACACAAGAGAGAAGAAAGTCAAATTTCCCACCCCACGTTTCTCTCTCGGGCAAATCTGTTTTCGTCTTCTGCACTTTCACCACTAAGGTTTTGGGTTTGTCGTTTGGCGTAGTGCTGCTGGCCGCGTCGTTTACCGTCTCCGTTAGGACGTGTCCGTCCGTAGCTTTGGTCCCGTTGGTGGCCATAGTGATTGCGCGTGTTGGATAGTCCTGACCAGTGTAGAGGAGGAAATTTCAGCACCGGTCCAGACAAAGAGCAACTTCTCCGTGGTCCAGCTCGCAGATTGCAGTCGAATAGGGACGAATATTCGGGGGAATTAGAGTGTGAAGAGCAGAAGCAGGGGTGGATAGCAGAGGTCCCACGACCCTGAAGGGGAGAAAAATATTAAAAGAAATGTAATTAGATAAAGCAAATTCACTGGTTAATATTTAAATACTTTATATATCTTTTCTTAAGTACATCAGCTGCAGAAGATACAGCCAAATATGTTTTACCTGATTATTAGCAAACTTTATAATCAGAAAAAAAGTCTCTGTGCGTAAAGGTAAAATCAAATCACCGTTCGGTAAGACGTGATAAAATTATTATTATTATTATTGCCCTATTTAAAACTGATTATCTCAACACGAAGCTGCATGTATCTAGTCCAACTGTCTGACATTTTCCTCAGGGATGTCGAGAAAAAAAGGATACCCCTCTGTCTGTGAACAGCACGGGATGAAATAAAGACCTCTCGTGCAATAAGACTCACTTTTAATGGCCTGGAGTGAATGCATGTTAACAGAAATTTAGAGCCTGCTTTTGTCCGTGATTCATTACGCTCTCGATTCAATGGCCCACTTCCTTCTGCTCCGGTACAAGAGAGGAGCAATTAAACACATTTAGGAGTCAGGAGCGGCGATAAAGTCTAATGAATCACTTGGAGAGGGCAGTAACTCACCGGAGCTTCTGAAAAGACATTTCCACAGCATATATGCAGAACAAATTGAAGAGCTGCTCTGTTTTTCGAGTCATTTGCGCAATGATGACCAATTACATAACAGCCAATATATTTATTTGTCTGTGTATTAATTAAATTATTCATTCTTCAAATGACATAATCCAAAAGTTTCATTTTGAAATAAAAAATAAAACAGCATGATGACGAATAAAACGTTGTGCGCACTCTCATGTGCGCTTCATCACCTCGCGTGCGTAACCACGAAGTGCGTATAAGCCACACTTATAATCATCATAAATTTTACCTTCTAAGCATTACAGAGAAAACATTTTGCAATATTGTTATTCCTGTTAAAGATTTTTTTTGTCTCGCAATAGACTCGCAACCGAAAGAAAATCTGGATTTATAGACCGAAGACGCGCTTTTCCCCAAATCATAATTTATGTGTCATATTTTATCCAAGTGCCCGCAAAATTGAAACATCAAAAACGTAAACGACCCCCATGAGTGTCTCCTGAAGCCCAGTCGCACATCCGCGCACTTTGCCAAATTCGCTGCATCTGTAAGTGCCAAATTCCTCTGTGGTCCTCGCTTTCAACAGTCGTGTCAACAAACAGAAATATCAGTAAAATTCAGAGTGCACATACTTACGATAAAATCTTTCTTTTTTCCAGATCGTTTCCCCGATGGGAAAACTCGGATTTGGAACAAAAAGTTACTTCCTCGCACTTTGAGAATAAAACCAAGGGGAAAACTTTGCATCCGACGCCAGCGAGAAAATATACGATCCTTAGGGGGGAGGATGGTGGACAAGTGCGTCTTTGAGAGCGAGGTGCTGTCCTGAAAGGAGTGGTGCTGAAAGAGAGGAGGGGAGAGAAGACGGGGAAAGGAGCTGCCGCCGTCTGAGTTGAAGCGAGCAGGGACGTAACATGGAGCGCAGGATCCTCACTCTCATCTACATAGCGTCAATGTCACCTCAAAGTCGACCCTCCCCAACTCCAACATTTCCACCACTGAGATGGCAGTGGGTTTGAGAGAGGAGCATCCTCTTGTCTCAAGGTTTTATATCCTTACTCCTGAAGCTTTTTTCTTTTTTTTTTTTTTCTTTTTCAAATCAGCAACTTCTCTCTCTCTCATCCTCCCCCCTCTCTCTCAATCTCTCTTTCTCTCTCTCTTTTTCCCTCTCCATTCCTTTCTGACTCACCCAAGGGCTATTTAATGTATTTACACACTTCTAATATTTGTTAACATCCTATATTTGTCTTTACTATCATCTCAAACGATGAAAAGCTTCCATCCAGTTGCCTGGAATAACAACTTCGCACACTTATGTGACAGACATTTACCGTTTTGTTACCAAACTTCCCTCCATCAAGCTCTTTGGCCGGTAACATGAAACGGTTTGCGTAGGAAGGCCACGCTATGTGTTAAAATAAGTACTGTAATGTTGCATCAAATGCAGCAACTCCAAAAGAAAAAAGATGCCAATAGCTGCGTAGCTCCTGGCAAAACATGATAAGAGGGTTGCAGCCAATAAAGGGAGTCAGGGTGTGTGAGATAAATTGAAAAGTCTGCTTATAATCTTCTTAGGCCGCTGTCTTCCAAAATGAAATACCCTTGTGGAACATCCCAAATGAGCAGTCCTAATGCAGACTTTAACTCCCACATCGAGATAAATTATTAGGGTCTCACTGGGAGATTAGGCTCTCCCAGAGTTTAACAGCTAATGTTTAAGTCGTGAAAATGAGAAAGGATTAAAACAATGTTAATATTTAAAAAAAAAAAACTACACCTGCCATTTGGGAGTGACAGAGGCTTGAGGAATGAAAACTGTGATTTAGACACTGAATCCCAGGTTTGTTTCTGTGACGTATTATCATAGGTATTTAATGCTAAAGCTGTTTCTTTTTTACGTCCCCCTGCACGTGAGAAATTACTGTTAATGTCAACGTTATAGTCAGATGAATGTGGTTTTCTGTTTCCTCTATTCCCCTGTGCTACTTTTCATTCCCCCTCACATTTTCCATATTTCTCTCATGGCTCACTTTCTTTCCTCCCTCCCTATACCGCCCAAATCTTTCCCTCCCATCTTTGGTTCTTTTTGTGTCTGCCGCCATGCTGTAGGCTGCAAAGCGCTGATACAGAGCTACTGAAAAGCCACACCACCGAGAGGGAAGGAAAGAATGCCCAGATGGTGAACCAATGAGGGGTGAGCTAACCTTCTAACAACAAAATTTAGCATTTCTAATCCCAACTGGCTGATTGGCCTGCAGGCTGTGGCGCCTCAGATGTGCAAAAAGCCTCCTGTCGGCCTGCAGCTTTCACACACACGGAGGGAATTCAAAATGCCACAGTGATGAGCGCTGGTGGTGCTGTGCTTGTGGCCCCGGCCCCACCTGATGGTGAATCTGTGTGCACTAGAGCTTGTAATTACAGAAGGAGGTGGTGGTAATAGAGAGTAGCGTACAGGCAAACACAAGCAGACAGCTGGCCCCTGTCAGTCTTACAGCTCATACATCGGGGACATGCTCTGATTTTAGTGATGCTCTGAAACTTAAGAGCAGATTACTGGCCATGTATGGACAGAAAATGCTGTGGGATAGATGATAATTATAGGGATGCTTACAGAGATAGAGTTACTGATGCATTTCATGATGCAGGCACTTTCACAAAGCTCTGTAGAAATATGTTACCTCTCACTTTCAGTATTGCTTTGATGTTTTGGATATTGGCTACATGATGAGGCCACTTATGCATGAGAGAAAAATGGCAGCCACCACATGTAATCCTTAGAAACTAACTGGCAGGATTTAAAATGGCGTGTACTGATACAGTGAAAAGACATATATACGCTGGTGACCAAACAAGAAAACTCTGAAGCCATGCTTGCAGCACTTTAAGCTGTGTACTAGCTTTGGTTTGCTATAATGTCAACCATGGCGATGCATACCTTATATTTGGCAGGGATGAATTTTAACATTACCATCTCTGTTTGCCATATAATGCATGGAAACAGTAATTGATTAGCATTATACAAATATCACAGGTGATGTTTGGAGTGTCATTGGTCGAGCTTTTATCTGGCCTGTTGGGAAGATTATAGTTTTGACTTGGTGATGAGATGACACTGCACATAAAATTAGGCAACCCACATAGTTGTTATATTTGGATAAAGATCCAAAGATGTAAACCTCATAGTGGTGCAAAGGAGAACTCAAGGAGAGCCATCAGGATTATTTCTGCATATATTTCTGCAAGGACTGCTGGCATTAGGGCCACTTCTGTAACTGCTGTAAACACCTGTTTTTATTTTCCTAAGTATAATATCAGGAAATGGTTGTGTCTTGCATTAGAGTCACCTCCTTAACTGTGCAAATATTAAAGAATTTGATTTTGTTTGAATTTATGTGATTTTTCTGTTGACATTTTCTTTGCACTCAATCACTCCTGTATTACTCCTGTAGGTGACCCATGCTATATTGTGGTTTGTGGTTGTCTGTTTTCTTCGTTTTGGTTGATGTCACTTTCACACAGTTTCTTGGGTATTTTAACGGCCCTTCGAGCTCCTGCGTGTTTTTCATCTTCTCAGCTCATTTTCTTGCTGTGGTCGGCAGTAAATAACTGAATCAAACGTTTTGTGCTCTTCAGATAAATTGTGAGCAAGACTGAAAATGCCTTCCACATTGTCTTTTGATATCAAAACTGATCAGTTTCGTCAGTTACTGTCGCCTGAAAGAGGTGTGATAACAACTTGACAAATGTGCAGGACTCCTTTCTGTTTATTGATTTGACATTTTTAGCAATCTGGCTACCCATGGTGTCATTGTTGCATTTCAAACTGAATAACTATTGTTATGTTTTTGTAATTTTTAATTTTTGTTGTTATTTTGATGGGACAGCCAGAGAGAGAAGTAATGTAGATGGGGGTATATGGCTCGCACCAAATGATACCAGGACCAGGAATCCATACTGATGATGGCACCCCAAATGTTCTCATTGGGTTCTGAACAATCAGAATCAAGTTTTAAGCACAGCCAACTGGTAAGTAAGAGAGCTCAGTGATAACATTTTAAAAATTTCGCCCTCATATGGCGACCCTGGCTGCACCCTTCCAGGAAGTGAAGCTCAGGTCCGGAGTTTTTTCATATTCCTGCTAACAGAGAGAGGAATAAACAAATAACACACAAATGACCAAAAAGGCACCACAGAAAACACATCCTCTTTGGCGTCAGTAATATACTGCATTACCTTACAGTCTTATGGCATTATCCACTGAAAGACCATGTTAGCTCTGAACCTGAGTGAAGTGCATGGATTGTCTGCTTTCCAAGTCAGTTTTAATGCTTGCCCATCAATGCCAAGTGTTCATTAGCATCTCAAATACCTAGTTTGAGCTAACATTTTTTCAACAGTGCTGTATGTTGGCTTAGTACTTTACAGCTTATGGAAATCAATGTGTATGTTTGAGCATATGAAAAAAAGAGATAAAGAGCAGGAAGTAAACGGAGAGACTCACTGACAAACAAACAGACAGACACACAGAAAGAGCCCTGTAACTGTAGCTTTTCCATGTCTCTTAATCCTAAAAGCCTCTGTTCTTCTCGGGTGGTGGAGAGAGGGCGGGACTGTTGTCAGGACCAGTTATGTGTAACACTGTGGGCCCACAGAATGTGTCTGGCTCTTCATTGGTAAGGCAGTCAGGTAGGACGCTGCTGGGCCTCTCCAGAAGAGCCTCGGTGCACGGTTTCCGCCCGCAGTGAAAGGATCGAGACAAAGTGATGTGTCTGTTGCCGGGTGACTCACAAAAAGAACCCAGGGTGCATTTCTAAAAAAAGGGAGGGTGGAAGCACTGTGGCAGAGTAAAACAAATACTGGCCTCCATCCCTGCCTGCCTCAGTCTTCTCACAGCCGAGTAGGAATGTGGAAGTCGACGAGGGAGAGTTTGAAGGGAAAATTAAGCCAGAGTGTCCCTGCCGAACCAGCTTATCCTGAGATGTAAGAATATCTAGAAGAGCTGCATCAAAACACAACAGTGAAGGTCAAATCAGCCACTGACAGTTTTACCCAAGCAACATATTTAGTCAAATTCCAGAGTAAAGGACTCGCAATTAAGTTGTAAGCTGAAACATCCCTCTCATTTCTGAAGATCATCTCAGTGAAATGTTGAGCAGGACCAGATTCATGATGAGCCATATTTATCCATCCTTTGTCAGAGTGTAATGATTTTCGACCCCGTCATGATTTATTTATAGCAGCCTGAACTACAGATAAATGTGAAATGTCATTTCCAATGTACACAATAAAAAGTCAATCAAAAAAGAAATGCTTGTTTTGCGTGACTGATGACAGAGCTGCCGTATATGGAATACACAACCATTACGTGTAATTAGTTGAGCTATTGCTGAGGTTGGCACACAGTTACTCAAAAATTTAACTCCATTATTAGGAGGCTATGCTCTCTGGATTTCTTTATCATTTCCTTGAAGTAATACTCACCATACTAATCATTTTGCACTGCAGATGCAGTAGATCTTCGGTCTTTGCGTCTTGGTCTGATTGCATTTCCATAAAGAAATCATAATTGTTCCTCTTCGAGCTGCGTCACCCCGCAGCAGTCTGTAATAGACTGGCCTGAGGTCTCTACAAACAAGCGGCTGCTGCAAGAGAGTAGGTGAGTTGTGTTTAGTCTTTTTGCTAAAAAAATCAGGCAAAGTTAAAAAGATGTTTGGTGGCTAATGCTTGGCTCCGACCCTATATGCACTGTTGATGAAGTTAGGGGCTGTTCTGAGCATTATTTGTGGCTATAGAGTGGCTTTTTGGTTGAGGTTTGTGTGTGGTTCCATAGACCGCTGTGTATTGCTTTCGTGTGGTCATTACTAAAGTTGGAGAAGCAAGCAGTCGGCAACATTCATCTCTTGAGGGGGTGTCTAACTCGGTGTTACAGAATGTTTGACCATAAACGAGTTTTACGCCGGAATATCCCTTTAAGTATCATAATCAAAAAGTCTGTTTAGATGGACAATATTTTTCTTTTTAATTGACTCTATCTGATTTTAGTTAATTTCCGCTTGTACTTCCGTTATTTTTCCAGTAGGCTACTGTTTAGAGAAAATCCAACGTCAAATGGCAGCAGTTTTATAATACGCCTATTTAATTGGTTGTACGTGAGTCATGTCACATTTTCTGTGTTGTGATTGGCTAAGGGGCGGGCGCTTCGGATTCGTTACGGCCGGGTGAAAGCTCAAGAAACGCGTATTGGAAGTTTATTAAAATTTCATCTAGGAGTGATTTCAGGCTGAAATAGTAATTCAAAGTTGTAATCCTGTAAAACTGTGTTGTGAACGGCTGATTAGGGAAGCGACGGATGTATGTGCTGCCGCGAAATGAGTAACTGACAGTAGCTTAGTAGCTAGTAGTGTTGTTAGCATGGTGCTAACTAGCCTCCGGAGCCTGATGACGCAGTACGTTGTAAACGGCTCAGGTGCGCCGGAAGAAAACCTGGGAGCTCATTCAGTACCTGAGGAGGAAGAGGAGACTATCTGGTGGTTCACCATGGTCAACAACCAACCTGCCAGTTTAATCCACCACATAGGGGAGAGTGGGATTTTTCATATTTCAGATCACTACATCAAGTCAATCATGTTTTTGTCTCTATCTAGTGTATCTGGATTTATTTCAAGATGTTGTGCATCCCTGACTGCATGACTGTCTTGATAATATAGCATGACAAAAAAGTGGTCTCCTATGATCAACTTACCCCATGGGGTCAACTTACCCCATGGGGTAAGTTGACCATAGGAGCAGGGTAGGTTGAGAGGTATCCCTACTCTCCACCCCAGCCTTCTCTCACCACCTCTCTCCCTAAATAACAGTCACTTCTTCACATTATTAGTCCTCTAAGCTAAAATGGTGGACTCTGGGTTTTTGACCTCATGTTGTAGCTCATAGATACCACAATTGATGTATAAAACAAGTTTTAAAATGATCTTTCTTTGGTCTGAACACAATTCTTAAGAAACTCATTATAGACTTAATTCACTTTCAAGAGTGAAAAATGATTTTTTTTTTTTTTTTTGGAAATAAATGTCTAACTCCTTCACCCATGTGCTTCTAATCTTCACAGACTCCATGAATTGATGCCCATCTCCTAAATATTTGGTCACATGATCAATTTCTTTTACCATTTCCAAGCAACAGGGGGTGGCTCAACTTACCCCACTCTCCCCTAGAGATGAAGAGCCCTATCATCTAAATTCTGCAATTGTGAGTATCCTGGTTTATTTTCTTTCACTCTGGTTTGTGCAACTATGTGTGAGTGACAGATGCTCCATATGGTATGTTTCATATTCATGGTTGAAATAAGGTAGAGGACACACATACTAAAAAAGATAAGAGGGAAATGTATATTTTGATTTCTTCTATTGTTTTTTCTTATTGTGTATATTTTAGTTTAAAACATTCCCCAATATTACAAACACATGTTCCTCCACAAGCTGAATTGTACAAAACATAGCCTGTGACATTTAATACCTCGAACAGCTGAAAATGGTTTTTCCTAGAAAATGCTGCTTCAACACTTTTCTGCTTTTCCCTGTAAGCCTGTCAACTAGCTGTGTTTTGTAGTAAGGTATTAACACCCAGTGTTAGTGATATAAAACGTAGTAGCTCTGACTAGTGTTTGCGTGGTGTATGTCAATGTTCTGCTTAGGTTAAGTATTTTTTTCCACTGGCTGAAGGCACAAGAGGAATTATTGAGCTCGTGTTAATACTCAAAACAGAATGCTGTTCTCTTTGTCTGGAGGGCTATTGGGATGTGTTATGGGAATATCAATACACTTTGGCCTCTGGTAATGCCATAATTTATAGCGAAGGACATATTTCTTGCTTCTACACCTGTATTAATGTTCCACATAAATCTTGTCTTCCGTAAAACATCAGAGGAAAGCCGTGTGGGGGGACTTTAAATGCTGGATGACTGAGTTTGATTGGATTGTAGCTACCAAAGCCGTAGAAATATGAATCATAAGACTGTCTCTCTGGACTGAGGAACGAGACCGATGTTTGAGCTTTAACTTAAATGTTGCATTGAATGTTTTTGGTCCAGTCTCTATTTGTCAAAAGGATATTTGGCTGGAGAGACGAGGGCTTTAACTATTATTTTATTAATAATGCATTTATGTTACATGCCAAATACAATTTCTATTAATTTTAGAAACAGCTGAATTCTTATGGCACCTAGCTTTGTTGTATCAGTATGCAGACAGGAAAAGGTAGATGTGTCCTTTCCATAGGTTTCAATTCTGTTCCTGAATCCTTTTTCATGGGCTGTTACCCCCAGTCAAAGTAATTGAGGCAGACAGAATGTGATCCACCAGTCAGGACTGATATTTAGACTTAATAGCTTTCAGAGAATCTGCATCCGTCGCCACCTGCACCCATAACACAAAGCTGTCTGACGCTGCCATCTCACTGAAGAGGAAGGAAGGGAGGAAAGAAGGAAGGAAGACATTTTTCAAGCACATTAAAAATTTTTTGTTTCAGGACAGTTTAGAATATTTTCATAGCCTTAATACTAGTGATATGTCTGAGCTTTGAAACATCACAATTAACAAAGATCATTTATGCCAATGTGGAAACACACTCAGATTCACACATCATCAAAACAAAGGAATTGAGGAATGCTTTGACAAGCTAACAGTATAGTAGGTAAATGACTTTTAATCATGTGACCATTTAAATGCAAATCCCTGCTGCGATAAATGAAATATTCACTCATGTTGCTAAGCAACAGAGCCGTGGGCAGCTTGGTGAGATGATCTTTGTTCAGTTAAACCACATCTGTCCAGACTGCTTTTAGGGCAGGGGTCCCCGACAAGGTCACTTCTGAGTCAAGGTTGGTCGAAGTCTGTGACCCAAAGATTAACCAACATTTAATAGAGAATACTGCAGGAGACAGGACTTTTGCGTCTAGCCAAGCTGCAGGAGAAGGTATTCTGGAGTCAGGGGAAGGCCTCGGTCTGCAGCACACTCACTGCCACTTGGGAACATGGGTAGCATACTGAAGGGCTGGGGCTCTCTGGGGTGAAGTATCAATTAAGGTCGCAGCCAGGAGCATGTACACTGAGTGCAAAGGCTGCCGTCACAGTTAAAGATAGCCTGCTAGATCGGAAGAGACAGTTAAAGCTGATGTTTGGATCAAGGGACAAGAACTGCTGCAAAATCAGAGTTGTGGGGCAGATGAGTAAGGCAGACGGGCAGAGGGACAGTGCAGGGGGCTAAAACAGAGGACAAGAGGCTGAGTCACTGTGGAGCTCAGAGCTGGTTTGCTCCTTCAGCTCCTGTGGGCTGCTGATGCTGCTACAGCAGCTGTTGAATAAGGCCTTAATAGGTTTTATAGAATCTCTATTATGTGTTCTCAGATGAGGTTTCTAGGGGTTAATTTGAATTCGGTTTGCTTCATCAAGTGCTTGATGACGTAGACACTGTTTTGCAGCTTGAAGCCTGTTCTTATGGTAGCTAAAACCAGCAGCACTGTCGAAAGATCAAAACAGCCTGACAGTCTGTAAGCAGATTTTTCTTGTAAGCTAATTAGTCCAGCAGAATGTTTTTCTTTTTTGACCACAGCGTTCATTTGAACACTATTATTTGGAAAACCAATGTCCCAGGAATTTTAGGAAAAGCGAATGAAGTGTAGTTCCTAGGATCTTTTTGTCTAGTTTTTGTTGGTCGTACATGCTGCAGTGTGAAAGCCTCTAAGCCTTCAGCATGTCATTCTCTTCTGAGTTTTGCTTCTCTCTCTCTCTGTCAAAATGACCCTCTCACAGCAGGCAGCACACTCCTCCGCCCATTCAGAATACTCTTCTGCGCACATGCGTGTTTTTGTATCAGTGGAGGAGGCGGAGTGAAAAAAGTGAAGAGCCAGGCAAGTTTACAAGTGCTCAGAGATGACAATTGAAGATGTAGACAGACAACTTGGTTTCAGGGAACAACAGCACTGGATCTTTTATTGGGAGGGGTCCAGACTTCCCTTGGAAGACAATGAACATGATTGGGTTTTCTGCAAAATATGCTGCAAAACCAGAGCTTCTACAAAATGAAAAGGCCTCCAACTCTGCATGCCCACATCTCTACCCAAACTAAACCAAATGTCAAAAGAATCCAGTCCTGGATTAGTTGACTCTGGCTTTTTTGTTTGCCAGGTCAATTCCATGTGAGAAAAAAGTCCAAAAAGGGAAGAGATCACAAAATACAAAGCCAAAGACATGACCTCCATCAGTGTTGTGGAAGCCAGGGTTAAAAAATAAGACTCTTGAGACAAGAAGATAATGGACCTAAAGAATGGTTTGCCTTTTTGCAAACCTTTTGCAGAGAAAGACCTGCCAGATTTTTCTATTTCAGCAGGAAAAAGAGTGGCCAACCAGCTTACAAATGTGACCCACTTATCTACAGTTATGGATCTGTAGTCCTGCACAACCTGTGAGCCTTATCTCAGCATAACGCTGAATTTCATGAATGGGAGTTTGAAAATTTCTGCCACTAAACCAGCTTTTTTTCTGGTGATCATACAGCAAAGATGCTCTCATGTCATGAAACTTGTTAGAAACTCGTCAAGGGTGCAGCACCACAGATTTTTGGATTTCTTCACAGTAGATTGCTGCAAAAATGTTGTATTTCTTGTTATTTTCAGAGAGAGGCATGGAAAACCTCCTTACTAAGTGTGCTGTTGCTTTTGTGCAGCATCGTGTTCTGATGTTGCAAGACCTGGGAGTCCTTGAATCAGTGCACAAGGCTGTAAAAGCCTTCAGTGAATCACTGATGCTCTACATTATGGTGTCCTATTAAAACCCGTGCTTCACCTTTTACACCCTGGTATCTTTGCAATACAGGAAGATGACACTCGATTAACCCAGTCCATAAGAGTGTCCATCCTGGATAACCTAAAGAGAAATTTCCTGACCCTACCACCACTGCCCTGCTAGACAAGGCATTACTGGTGGATCTCAGGTTTAAAGCAACAGACATTACTGCAAAAAGGTGGAAGAAATCAAGCACAGAGCCATATCAGAGATCAAGCTGCAGGCAGTGCCGAAGAATCCCCTCTGAGGTTTCTTCAAAAAGGCAACAACATCCTCTGCCACAGCCACACCATCACAGCGAGAGCTGATAAAAACAGAGTTCTCTTGTACCTGGAGTCTTTTGGTGCTGACTGTGTCCTAGACCCCCTGCAGGGGAGAAAGGGCCAGGAGGAAATCTTCCCAAACTTGAAAAATTTGGTGAAGAAGTATCTGTGAGTGCCCGCCACCAGATGCCCATCAGAAAGGTTATTTAGCACCAGCAGGAATGCGGTCACATCACTGCATGGGAATCACTCTAGACAGGATTTGTACTGATTGGTTGTCACAAAGACCAACAAACTATGAACACGTGCACACTCCCACTGCTGTTGTGACATGACTGTTGTTGTTCAGAGTTTTTTCAGTCACAGTGTGCAACTATTTGCAAAATAGCAAAAATCTAAAATAGCAAAAAAAATTTTTTGGGGCAGCTTGCAGTTGATCACTTGACCTTACACCTGCCTTGGCACTGCTGCATAGTTTGTAGAGGTATTTATTTTAGTATTTCTTCATTTTTATCAGGCTTTTGTTATAGTTAATGATGTCCTTATCTTTTATTATACCACTTTTGAATTATGTTTCATTGGCCTTTATTGTGTTTGTTGTGTATCTGGTGTTGAGTTAATGTTTTTTGTCTGTATGAGTCTTCCTTGTCGTGGTGGTGAAATAGTTTCCCCCATGCGGGATCAATAAACCTTACCTTACTTGGCCTGTACCAGCATTTTTTGCCTTTTAGATGCTATAAGAAATGGACATTTTTGGAAGTAATAGTCTTACTTTTGTAAGTTTGAGATGCATCAAAATTAATTTAAATCTGTTTTGTAAGTAGTTAAAAACTCATCACAGGAGCTTTAAGCATATATATCAGTTTGAGATTCTCAAAACGAGGAACATTGTATGTATTCTCAGCCACAGTCTGCATTTTGATGGATCACTCCTGTCTGCGGTAAAAGCTGAGGTTCCCTCATGCGGTGTCTGATGATTTGAACTTCTTTTGCCCGTATGTTCGCTGCCCTCTTTAAAACGGATTTGCTTTATTACTCTACTGCTCTAAAGGATGCAACACCTCATATCTTTCGTCTTGTTAGTCTAGCTGCAGCAAGAGTTGTCCGGTCTTGTACAGGTTAGTTCAGCATAATTGGCTGTGTAATGATCCAATCACACACCTCCTGCACCTCACTGACTCCTCCATTGTGGACTCAGAACCCTGCTGGATCGCTCCATTAGTCAATTCAAGCAGTGGTGTGTGTGCTAAGGTCACATTGAGTTTAAGCATTTTTCTGTTATTATGCAAATTTTGCTGCCAGTTGAGTGCAGCCAGGTGTATAGATCCAGCCCCACCTTGTGGCTCCAATCTCAACAAAATCCGTCTGGTGATAAAATGTTTGCTGGTTTGTGCTAAATATTATCTTGTTTACACCTTGCTAGATCAGTTTGAAACTGGGCTTACATCCACAGTAGATTAACATTTGGCACAGTGTCTTAAATTATGCATTATTGAAGGGACAGGCAACAGTGTGTTCAGCAGATTGTCAGACATGCAGCTGAGGGGTTCTTTGAGATAGTCCCCGGACATTACTCTGTCTATAATCATTAGCCTCTGCATTTAGACCAAACTACACCCTCCGTTAAAAAACAAACTAAAACAAACAGGGCCTGTTACAGAGGCTAGAAACAATACTCATGATCCTAACGTTTAATGAGTTCACTTCGAAAGGGTTCGAAACTGGAGACCAAAAAGTTTCACATCCCCGGTCATGTATTTGACACAATCAAGGCTTTGCTCGGTCTTAATTTACCATTATTTTCCTGAGTGGGTGTCCATTATGAGGCCAATGACTGGCGGATTGGCACCAATCATCCATGTGGCAATCCATTCATTGGTTACCATGGAAACGGTCTGGGTGAATAGGGGATAAGTAGGGGAGCATGGAGAGATTGCTGACACCTGCTCTCCTTCATTTTCTGTAACCACATGCACTTACACTGTACAATTCCTCACAAGGATATGTATATTATGTAACTTCACACGTGCACGCCATGCAAAAGTGTATTCAAAGCCTTTTCAAAAGGATCGTATTCTTTTTAAGCCACATGAAACAGCAGATTTTAGTGGATTCTGCAAATCATTGGAAGGATTTTTCGTGCACTTTTATCCTTGACACTTCATTAACCTAAACCTGTATAAAAGCCCCCACATTCAAAGAGCAGAGCACAGTCATTTGGTTTCTTATTCAACTTGTCAAAAAAGATGATTAAGAAATAAAAAGCCCATCTCTCTCAAGGGGATGGAGAAGAATGAACAATAAATTAGGGCCCCGATCCACAAATGTCGTTCCACATCCTGACAAATTATTTTCACTATTCTGTTCTGAGCTGCAACAAATATTTAGTCAACACAGCTGCAAATATAAAAGAACTAGTAAAAGGATTCAGAAGAAAACATTTATGGGCTACTTAGATCGGGCTACTGCAGCCATTTGCTGCAAATGTTAAAGGTTTAAAAAGGTAACCCTTAAAGATTTTTCCTGTAGGATCAAAATGAATTTGTCACCCAGAGTGAATTGGTTGATTGAAAAAAAAATTTGATTGCATAATTTCAGGAAGCTTTTTAAAGATTCATGTAATCTCACATCCAACAACATCGAAGTATTGCAAAGGCTCCTTCAGTAGACAGGAATTCACTGGATAACCTGGATCTAATCACAGTTTGAGTCTCATGGAAAAAAAAACAAAAAACTCTTGGATAATACGTAACTTTGATTTAAGTCATTCTAGATTCAATTGGAGAAATTTAATGCTGCGTTTTAGTTACCTTGGATGTCGGAGCTGGAATTGATGTTACACTCTAGTTGACGGCATTCCAGTAAACACTGTTAGCCATTGTTTGCTGTTGTTTACAATCGTCAGCTGTTGTTAGTTGTTGTTAGCTATACCAGTTGTAAACAAGGCATAACACAGTATTTTATTCTTTCAAACACCATGGCACCGTGTTCACAGTAAGACGTTGGGTAGTACAACATATACCACTTACTTAATTTCACAAAAACAAAACAGAAGTGCTAATAAATAATATATTATGAGAGCTTTCACTGTTACTCTTTTCTGTTTATTCACTGCGCTGCCATCTTGGATTATGACGTTGTCGTCAAGTCGTGGTTGGTTAGGATCGTCTGACTTCAGGTGGGCATTTCAGATGAATTTCTGATTTGGAGATTGGAAATCCTGACTTCCAAGTACAACTGGAACACAGCAATAGTTCCAAAAGATCCAATACTGTGAATATAGTGTTCCTGCCATGGATTTAGTGTCAGCTGTTGTTGATTTTTTTGCATGCAGTCTCTACTTAGGGTCAAATATTGCATGTACTTGCAGTAATTTGGACAAAATGATACGGGAGATCATGTTGAACTGTTTGTGCTAAGTTGAGTTAGCTGTTAGTTAAACTGCTTTAGTTTAATACCTACCCAACAGTCAATTTTGTGAGTTGAACCAGCTACAGGTATGCTTAATACTCAGCCCAGTTTTAGGAAATGATTCAAAATAACCTTTCACTTTTCCTTTTGAGTGTACTCATAGAGGGTCTTCTGCACTGATGAACAAGTTCTTGTGTGACACTTTGTGATGAGTGCTCTGCTGATCGATATAGAAGCATTTGCCAGTGGTGTGGTGTTTAGGAAAGTGCGAATTGCTGAAAGCTACCAATTAGTGATAACTCAGGTCTCATAGAGGTGACAGGCTTAAAGCTGTAGATACTAAAGGCCAGGGTTTTTCCTGCGTTCAAAATTGCGTGGCGGCCGCCTCCACCTAATTTTGTGCCGCCCCCAGCCAGAGCGATTGATTTCGCTCAACACAGCGTAAAGCTCCAGCTGTGTTGATTGAGCGATTGATGTCCCGATGCAGCAGCAACGTATTTTAACTGCAGTTGCAGCGTTGCCCTCACTATAGAGGCGCTATGTCAACAGCACTGCACCGGAAAGACCTGAAGCATCTACCGAAGAAGAAACGGATCGAATCATGTTTTCTCAAGTTTTTTTTCCCGCTAGTTGGTGCTGTCGGCGTCCTGATTTTCCCTGGCGGATGGTACAAAGAGGTAAATACTGCTTCTCTTTTTTGCATCCAAGCATGTCGTGTTTATTTTAAAAAAAAAGTTTCCTCCGTTTTTAGCGTTGCAGTTATGACAGGCAAAATCAGCCAGTACTTTAAAAAGCGACCTCGCGAGGAGGAAAGTCAAGAGTCCAGGTGAAACACAGCAGAGAAAAAACGTAACAGGCAGTTAAAATGCTATACTTCATGTTGGTGACAACGTGGAAATTTGTGTCAGGTCTGAAAGTACTTCACAAGGGACTGGTGATCGCGAGGGTCAGAATGCAGGGCAGGACGAGTCGGCGAGGCAAAGGTAATTAATTAATTAGTTTCCAATTAGGAGCATAACAACGCAAAACCAACGTGTACGTGGTTTTTATTCCTCTTTCCAGATCTTCTCAAAAACACAGAGCCAGTGGCTTTGACAAGCAGTGGCTCAATCAATTTACCTGGCTCAGGCATACTGAGGAAGGCATGCGCTGCTATTTATGCCAAAAGCACTGTGCCCCAACACAGCAGGCAATTGCTGCCTCCTTAGTGAGACAGCCATCAACCAACTACAGGCTGGACACATTAAAAAGACATGAGGTGACAGCCGTTCACGAAGCAGCAGAAGAGAAGGAGAAGTATATTAAAGATGGTAGTACCTAAAAAAACTCAACTAATAAAGTTACTAAAAATAAATAACATAGTTTAGATAGTTTAAGAAATAATTGGTTGTCGTTTTTTTAGGGAGGACACTGCAACGTATACATACATATATATAATATATGATTGAAAACACTATCACTCTTCATGTCTGTATCAGAATAAAAACAAAAATACTTAATGCATGATGAATTGTTTTGTTTAAGGTGAAGACACCTCTGCGGAACAGACTGAAGGAGAGGCACTTGGATGTCTGTTGTAAGGTGGCCGTTGATGGACCAGACCAGGAGGCCTTGGACTACAAGGAGTGCATGAGGAGGTTCTACAGAATGAAAAAGAGGAGGCTGAAATGTTCTGTCTGGTTGCGAGATGTGTGGATGAAGTGTACTTTCAATTTAAAGTTGCCAGCTGTATGTATATAGTTTTAATAAATGAATGCTTTAACATGATAATGGTCACGCTCTTTTTTGAACTCTTAACTTAAAGTATGTTGCCTGTAAAAGACAGTGAATCGGTTGAATTTACAAATACATGCACGTCGTGGCGCATGGTCAGGATGGTGCCACCTCTGCCTCAATTTGAGCCAGGAAAAACCCTGCTAAAGGCTTTACTTGATCACAGTTTTTTTTCTTGGATGAAGTTTTAATCTACTGGGCTTGAATTATGGTGCAGGATTCTTAATATGCCGCACAAATATTCAAATGTTTGCAGTGGCAGTGGTGAATGGCAGTCAAATGACTATGCAGGGAAAAGTCAATATCCCTGTGGTCTTATTTCTTTCTCGAGTATTTATGCATTAGCATTGATTTTTGCCTGTTTAATAACCTTAAAACTCATCACAGCGTGTTTAAGTGCATCAATGACCACCTTAGGATGCTAGTTAGGGGACAAAACCTGCAGTCTTAGAGGTCCATCAAGAGATCAGTCCACCCCAAACTTAGTCTGTCATGTATATATTATATATCATATTGTATATTGTAGGAATGCAGAGGGCAATATTGGTTTGATTCTGTAGTTACTGCTATAACTTAAAAACATGCACAGCAGGGGTGAAGGATATGACTTAGAATTAAAATCAATTTTTTTTGTTTTGCCTTTTGCTGTGAGGGTATCATAAAATATAAAAGGATCGTAAAAACATATGTTTACCTGCTTCAACCCCCTCTCCCCCTAAAGCAAGGCTGTGATGCATAGACTTGACTCATGTCTACGCCTGCGAGCAGACTAAGGCGATTTTATAAACTGATGTGTGTTCAGAAATCTGCACATCATAGTTTTCAACTGAACCTCCATGATCTTCGTTTTTATTACTCATTTGCTTGCCCTGAAAACATGCCATTTCCTGAGGTGGCTGTTTCAGAATAAAGGTATTTTAAACAATAAAAATACTGGCACTTTTAGGGTGAAGAGTTTGTCAGAGAGTCAATTCCAGGGATGGTACTGGGACACCACAAGGGTTGGGATCTGTTTTAATTTTATTGATATCAGTTCCAACATGCTGAGGTTAAATCCAGACAGATTTATGTCACAGTTAGGAACTAAAATGCCTCATTGAATTCTCAGATCTTAATAATAATAGAACCAGGTCTTGATACCCAAGCTTACCCACCTCTAATGCATAGTCATAAGTAGACACATGTGCTGACGGTTCACAGCTGATTTTTTTTAAACATAGAAGATAAAAGATTGACGTCTATATCCAGTGATTCTTGATGAATTGCAAATTCAAATACTACCTGTTGAGCTCCTTCACTTTTAATCAGAGATGCTACATGATCTTGTACATTTGCAAAGTTTTTCTCATCTTCCCAACCACTCGCAGCCCTTTTACATAGCTTGTCATAGTCACCCATTCACACTATGTTCATAAACTGATAGCAGAGGATGCTATAGTGGGACACCATTAGTATGAACTCGTTTCATTTCATCCATATGCATTTGCACACCACCGAGTACGGCCTCTTTCTGTCATTTCAAGGCGGGATATTGATGCCCCCGTTTCGTCTCATCAGCAATGTAAAGGAATTGGAGGTGTAATGGTAGGTGGTAACAAAGGAGGGATGTGGGGAAGATGGTGGTGTTGTGATGTGCAGTGTGTATGTGGCGATTCTGTTATGTGTCACTACCACTGAGCCAAGACAACTTAATGGAAACCTTACTCTACCCCTGTATAAATATGTAAACAACTTCTGTCACTTATCTTATATTTGAATACATCCTGTTGGCTTTTAAAACAGAGGGAGAAATCAAAAGTAGGGTCTTTTTGCAAAGACCACAATAGGCAAAACAAATAACTATTTACAAATTTTATCCATTTGTAATTCGATTTTCATTTGTTTCCATTTTGTTTTGTGTAAGAGACATAGTAAGTTATCCGTCACACATAACACAAAAAGAGAATGATCAAAATGAAGCTGAGGTTTTTGGTAGGATTTAATCTCATCATTGATAACATCTCTGAGCCTTTGATCAGAGATGATCGTGTGTAATAGCCTGATAGCAAAGAGAGATCACACACTCAGATAAAAGATAATAACTGTGACTCTTGTTTCTTTGAACATCTTAATATATATTTTTTTTACAGTCTTTCAGATCTGAGTTTATTAAAATCCATTTAGAGCAGAAAAGTCAGACTACACATCCTCGCAGCACTCACTCTTGGATTTACTCATTTTATGAAGGAAATTGAACTTTAGTAATTAATGGAAAAACTCGATTGCTCTTTTGAAGCAATTGACAATTAAATCTAATCACCTGTCTTGCTAAAACATTGTGCTCGCTGCAATTAAAGATGATCATTTTTTTCCATTATTTAATATAGATTCTTAAACAAGTTTGGGTCCATCATAACTTTGCTTTTAGAGGGACTGTTCTCAACCAGTACATTTAAGTACCTTAACCCTTTAGTATATGGATGTTGCATTGTTACCTTCATGAAAATTCGTTCTCCGTCAAGATCTAAAGATCTTTGCTAACACTGGTCCAATCTCTTTCCTTCTGCTACAGTATCTTTTGGCTGTGTTCACTAAAAGACGGGCCTTTTTCCATATCGGTGCTCCTAAATAGACATTTAGTATGAGGAGCAGATGTGTTGTGACATGGCTCTCAGGACGGTTGTCTGTTCGGCTAACTCCTGATGCAGACTGACAATGACAAGTGAAAAGGTTCCAGCGGGTGTTTTGTTGCTGAGCCACCTGCTGAAGCACATAACAATTGGGGGCCTAGCTAACCTTGCCTGAAGATCCTACAAGCTCATGAAGGGGTGCAGCTAGAATAACTATAATGTATTGTGACATATAAATACACTGAGCCCCTTTGCTTAAACTCATACTAGGCGAGTTAACTTTTCTTAGCCTTCTTAAATAGGTAGTGACAGAGCTAAGTGGATAGTTGCTTTTGTGTGCTTTTACGCCGTTTTTAAAATCTTTCTTAAATAAAAATAAAAAAAAACAGTTTTTACAGACCTGTTGTCTGTACTCAAACATGTACTGCTTTGCCATGTTTCTCTCTTAGTTATATATAAGAGAGTTTAAATATATAGTATACTATATACAGTAGATATTGTCATGAGGTCGCTGCGCCATCTACAGGATAAGTCAGGGAACTTTTCAAATGGCGGAACATTTTTAAGTGAAACCGAATCTTGTTCTCTGCATTTTATTTCTGAAAGTATCGTTGAAAATCGTCGAGTTTTGGTCGATTACAGATTAGTTTGAAACAGGCTAAAATTGGCCGGATTAATCGATTCGCCGATTAATTGGTTGGGCCCTACAGCATAGTATCATGATATTTTATCTGGTGACATACCGTATCATCTCATTTATCAAGTATTGATTAAATCTATGATAATAGAAAAATAAAATCAACCGTTTGTCCAGTTATGTTGGCAGAGGTGACATCATAGAGCAGGAGAAAGTTAGTACAACAAATATAAGGTTTGCAAGATGTGCTAAATGAAAATAAAATATAGTGGAAATAAGACAAACATATAGGACAGCCAAATGCTAAATAAGCCAAACTGTTTTTTTATGAATTTCAATATGTTGTATCGCAATACTCACTGTATTGCAAAATGTTAAAAATCGCAATGATATTGTATCGTGGCCCAAGTCTCGTGATGGTGATTCCAGTGCTGGATGATGGGTTTGGCGATGTCAGGCTAGCTGAAACAACACTCAGCTAGAACAGACAAGCAAATGAGCTTCTCTATATCTGTTATGGTCATATAAAGATCACTAAGTGTCCTGGTTACCTGGGTGACCAGTCCTGCCCCATAGTGGGAGGTGGAGGTGGTCAGGTGGAGCAGCATTATTAGCACTTTGTCAAACTGAGAGGTTTCAGTCGTAGCGATCTCATCAGCTTAACAAATACTCTGCATACTCTGAAAAAGACAGTGGTTCCTGTCTGTGTGTTCACTCGCTTTCTCTTAAGGTAAGGGTTAAAGATTTACTGGATTTACTTCCCGTGAATCTTTGAGTTGTAGTATTTAAAATAGTCAAATTATGCTAGAAGTAGCTGGTTCTTTTTTGGCCTTTTCTTCGTTTAATGACGTTCCAGTCAGTGTAAAAGACTATAAACTCACAGTATCACCGTATGCTTATTTTAGCAGGGTGTCAACGTTTAATTTTTCGAAAAGACGGTTATTATCAACACTGGTATTTGGAAATAGCCCTAATGGACAGCAATATTAGTTTTGCCCCTGCTCTGTAGATGGTTCACGGTGTACCTTTCTGAATGGGGAAAAATGGGGTACAACCCTGGGACACATGGGAAGCAAATTGACTGCACTCTGTCAAATTTGTATGTGTCAGGGACACAGGACCAGGCAACGTCACTGTGCATGTTCACTCTCTCATCTTACTCTGATGTGTCAGAGTGACACAAGGGTGAGACCAGGATTCACTGTTATGTTTGGCCAAATTACTCTGTGAAGCTACTTTCATCCACCCATCAATTGTGATTACATCAACCTGTCCACCTGCTGTGCACTTGTACTAGAACATGTGTATGGAAAATTAAAAAACATAATTAAAGTAAATGTGACACAGATCAAGCAGCTAAAGGGTCATACACATCAAACTTGATGCAGCATCTATGGGTCAGCACCCAGCACGACATGGTCGAGAAAAGGTAATGCATGATAACTGAGTGATTTTAGCTAATTACTTTATGAAACAAAGAGCTGGTAGGAAATTAAACATTAATTAATCAGTCAGAGTCAATAGCGTTGCTGGGGAGAGTTGGACCTTTAGTGCCATGTAAACAAACGAAACAGCAGCATGAAGTCTGTTGAGGATAGAAAATAGTCTCCCCCAGGGCCACGTTCAGTGATTATTAAATGTTGCTTCCTCTCCCCTTGAAGGCCAAATTACCTGGTTTGGTGATCCAAAAGCAGGTTTTGGTTCTTCTACTGACTACTTTACACTTTTTATTGTAATTTCAAAAGATGACAGAAGTAACACTGGGGCTGTTTTAGTTATTTACAAATGAGTCAGAATCTCATAGTTACTGCTGGAGCTCAGATACAAGACATGTTTTCTTCTGGTTGAGCTGTAGGTGGTGAGGGTGATTGAAGAGAGCAGTTATCGTGGGTCATGTTCCCGTTTACTGCTTCATTGCCAGCTCCACATGCATGACTCTGCATGTTTGCTGCTTCGCTCCTTTACAGCAAAGAGGATTCAGTAATGAATAATTCAGTGATTTAATTTGGTGTTCAGTGGCACATTTTCAAAAGCATCTTTTCCCCTCTCATTTTTTATGCTTTACTTTTGTGTGTTACTCTCAAGAGGATGTCTGGAAACTGTAATGCTCCTCTTCTCCTGAAGCTATAGACTTTATAGTAGTCAGACCAAAAAAGCAGCATGGGGCATTCAAAAGAAATAAGGATAAAAATGGCTTATTAAGAGCTAAAGGAACAAAGATAAACACATGAAAATGAAGAATTAGAGGAAGGGTTGGAGGGGGAACAGCAAGTTGAGAATTAACAAGAGCCAGGCGCTGCTCCTGGCTTAACTATTGCATGTCTACATCACTAAAAGGTTACCATGAACAGTACTGACAGCTCTGCCTACTAGGCTCTGACTGGCATGCTTTACTCATAGCATAGGGAGGAGGATGAGAGAGGAAGAGGAAACAACAAGAATGAATGAAAACAAGGGGAACTGACAGATGACGCAAGAAAGGATGAAGAAGGAAATTGAGGAGATTGAAAGATGAAGGGGGAGTGAAAGTGATAAGAAATGGAGAAAAAAGGGAGAAGATAGAGGAAAAAGTCAAAGGGAGTAAGGAAGGGTAACGACGAGACCTTAACTGAACACAGATGATTGCGTGATGCTGACTCATTAGTCCTGGAGTAACAGCTCTCGTCACAGTGCCATGCAGAAAGGGTAAGAAGAGGACAGTGTTGATGGCTAATAACTAAACTCTTATCCAACAACAAAGTTTGACTAAAATGTTTTGATCAAGTCTCCAGCATTGTAAGATAAAGATAAAAGCAAACTTACACTTCAGTAATAATATTTATGAAGCGATCATATTTTTGTTGTTGTTTTTTTCGGTGTTGGTTTTGGAATCTGCTGCAGGAGGATGTTAAGACAACACAGGTAATAGATGCATCCTGCAGGCTATCGACGTCTTCCTCTCGTCTTCATCTGTCCCCGCTGGGGTCTCATTTCCTCTTTTGTTCAACGTTTATATGCTCCCTCTCTCCCAGAGTACGAAAGCATGTGTTATTTAACCATCTGGGTTGAATTTAGATTTTTATAGCAGTATAATCAGCCAGTTATGATCTGATACAAGCACTGTAAAAGGTGTACCGATCAATCCAGGACAGAACTGACTGTACCAACTCTCATTTACCACACTTCTAGTATAAAATGATGAAATTTGGGGGAATCAACATACATGAGTACAGATTTCCCTTTTCCTCCCTCCCTGTAGAAAACCCTGAACTGTAGCCTGAAGCCACATTGCTGCTGGAACCCAAAGTGTAATGTTATTTTTTCTTGTTTGTTGACCTATAGCCTCAAGTATTGTGTCAATGGTTCAATGAAAGGCCATGATCAATTCATACAGTACCTAGTTTGATGGCAGATCAATATTTCAATGCTTATTTCTTCTAAGTGATGACAGGGATTTGCTGCAAAATGTACTTGGGATTGGGAATCGTTCCTGCCCTCTCTTCCTGTGAAATCATTTAAAAATAATTATTGAATGTCCAAAAATCTATATTCATAGGTCATTTTGTCATTTGATGTATGCAGTGATTGAAATGAAGATTGAAAAGGCATCAAAGCACCTAAGCACCTTCTTGACCTGGGTGAATAGAATAAAAGGTGATTTTTGTTTACTACTCACTTCATCGTCAGGAATTTGACCAGAATGAGACATTAAAGGACTTTCAGTGTTGTCAGCAGGTAGGGGGTGTCAGAATATAAATACTTTGATTACAATTAAGTTACATTAAAAATGTATCAGAGGCTCTGTGTGTTTTATACTGAGTGTTTCTTTCCACCAATCTAATTACTGAATCATCCCAAATTTCCGCCTTTTTGAGCCATTGTATCACAATGATCTAACAGGAGTCTGGGTCAGATGTTATGCTGCTTCCACTTATCTTAGAAGTCCGATGTTGAGAGCTGGGAATGACGTTACACCCTGGTTGACCTTGTTCCAGTACACAAGTCAGAAAACCAAGGTGGACGTCTACTGTTTGCTGTTGTTTACCGTTGTCAGTGGTTGTTAGCTGTTGTTAACTGTTGTCAGCAGTTGTTAGCTGTTGTTAACTGTTGTCAGTGGTTGATAGTTGTTATTAAACGTTGTCAGATGTTGTTAGCTGTTGTTAGCTTTACCAGTTGAAAACAACACATAACATGGTACTTTACAAACACACTGTAGTACCATGTCCACAGTTCGACATTGGACAGTACTACATATACCACCTATTTAATTTTTGAAAAACTGAACAGAAGTGCTAATAAATAATACGTTACAAGAGCTACCACTGTTACACTTTACTGTTGATGCACGGTGCTGCCATCTTGGGTATGAAGTTGTTGTCAAGTCGGGGTTGGTGAGAATAAACTTTCCAAGTTACAAAGCCAACTTCAGGGGTGCATTCCGGATGAACTTCTTTTCTGTGAACTTAGAATTTCCAACTTCCCAGTACAACTGGAACGTAGCATTACTCAATGATGTAGCAAAACTAAGGGAATAATTAAACTTATCTAACCAGTAGAGCCTCGACAAGAGTAAAAATCTTACTTCCAAGAGTGTCCTTGCCAAAATCTGGTTTCTTCCTCTCTCTCCCTACAGAGTACACAGATGCTACTCTGGAACACATGAGAGGAATGAAAACTAGCTAGGTGATGAGAATGTTAGCATGTTGATGCTAACAGACACCTATCATGTGACTAACATTGTATAACAGAATTTTGTTTTAGAAAGTACATGTAGATAAAAAAATATGTATATGGTAACAATATGATAAATCTACTTTACAGATGAAAGAACACCTTGATAGAGATGCCCTGCTCAGCATAATCTAAATTAAATTTTTTAGAAATGGCTAAACTTATAAAAGGAGCAGCCACCTCGTAACAAAGCCCTTTATTAGTGAAATCTTGAGCTTCCTGAACGTAGTGTAGCAGAAGATGTGGTCAGAAACATATGCCTCTTTTCAGTCTTGTGGACTGTCGCATGTAGATATACAGAATAGCCTAAAGGTAGAGATTACTACATTCAATGTCTCTGTCTCTGACGCACATGTTTAGTAGTTGCATCATAAGATAGTGACCATGAGTGAAATCTTTCTTGGATCACAGATGCTGTATGTCTACTATCTACCCCTTTGTGGCCAAATTAGCAGAATACTGCAAAAAAAAGTCTGATTTTTATTGAACAATGTGCACATTTTAAAAATGTAAATTTACATGTATCTTTTCAAGACGAAGGTTGGTTTGTTTTGCATTATAAATCTACAAAAATCAAAAAGAAACAACAATAAAGAATAGAAGAGCTGACTTGCTAATAATGTGCAGCACAGTTAAGCAGAAAGATTCTCTTGTCCGCTATCTGATGTTTGCTGAGCAAATGTAAAAGGATGTGATGCTCGCACTGCATCCACAGGGTCTAAAATAGCTTTTCACCATATTGCACTCAAAGGAGAGGAGAGGCACTTCATATGTACAAGAACAAAACGGATAAGACTGCCTGAGGCATCAAATTAGGACCGAATTAGCCCCCTCTTCTTTCCCTCCTGTGTTATTCCCGTACAGCCGCTTATGGCATAGTAAACCAAATAATCCACTCGTTATCACAAAGCACATCATTGTACGTTAATAGCCTATCCATGTTGACACACCATTAGGCAAAGAGAATTTGGGTAATGTGCTTTACCAACTGTTGTAGATTCTGTTTTGTTTTTCAGGAGACGTACATGAAGGCCAGTTAGAAAGTGGGGGAATGAAGTGAACAATACATGTACTGCCATTTTTTTAATGAAAGGCATGTTTGGGTATTGTGGAAAATGACTAATAACCTCCATTATTCTGATTTGCCGATGAAAGGTGAGTTGTGGTATGACAGGACTCTACTAATGGAGCAAAACTGCACCATGTGATTCACTGTCATATAAATGGAAATGTGGCGGAAACAGAAAAAAAAAGCAGCGTGTTTGAGACTTGAAGAAGAAGAAAAGCAAAAAAGGGAAAAGGCCCAGCAAGAAAGAGGAATGGATTAAGTGTAAAATGAAGCTGTAGAGGAGAAGATGTTCCTCTAGCTTTGATGCTTCCATTCAGGTCTGCTTCCTCTGACCTGGCAGACAGACATTTCCACACACTTCAGTTCACTGCACTGAGACCGCAGGCACCTTTGGCCCGCTTCTTTGCATATTGCATAACTGAAGTATAACTGATATTCAAGCGGGTAGAAAATACTGTGGTTCTGAATTGAAATCGAGAGCCAGTGAAAAGTTTAGACCCTTTGATGAGAAGAGTAAGGTGGTATTGAATGATATTTTGCTTTGGCAGAGTTTATCTTCGTTCAAACCCTTTTTTTTTTGTTTGCAGTCACTAAAATTAACTACCCATGTCATGTGTGGTCATAATTTCCACTGTATAAAATCTCCACAGCAATAAGAACGAATACATCGATTGGTTCCATCATATTTTAGCTCCCGGTTGTCTAAACTGTGCTATACAGTATGAGCGATTTGCATAAAAACACAATGATGCAGACTCTCTACTGTAGCTGTAGTATATGCATAATGACTTCATAGCCGCCGAGCATAACTGTGGGAGGCACTCCATCTTCAGGCTATCGATTCTCTCTCTTCCCCTCTCATGCAACCACACTCGCAACATCTTGCATTTTTTTCCCTTTTGATAATAGGTGGATTATGCAGACACACTGTGGGTGGACAGACAGTTTCCATTTCTAACCAACTCAGTTCTTTCAGCATTTCATCCCCAAAAAGACAGAATTAATAAAAAGACTCTCCTTCAAAGTTTCTCATGCAAGAAGGAATTTTTTTAGATATAATAAAAGGTTCATTTAGCAGGCGTGTGTTGGCATTCATTTAATGAGGACTAAAAGAATTTATGATTATGTAGAAGAAAAGTTGGTTTGATTTTCTAGAACAGGATGATGATGAAGCTCTGAAACATGTTACAGTTTGGCAGGCTGGTCTATTTTCCCTAAAACGAGATCAGTTTCCAATCAGTTGGCCAAATGCTTCATTTCTTACATACTTCATTCAGAGGGAGAAAAAGTGATAGAGAGCTATAAATAGGGAGAACCAGGGGTAGAAAATAGATAAAATAGGATAGCAGAGCAAAAAAGAGGGTTGTAGAGGTAACAAGAGGAATCGGGGGAGGTAATGGGAGAGAATGACAGTGTGAGAGAGACTCTTGATGTAAGAGCTGGAAGTGGATAACACCATAAAAAGAGATTGCTGACACTAGGTTAGATTTCATAAATCTTAGTCCCCCCAAAAGTGGTATCTGCTTATGGGGAAATGATTCACAAAAATCATAGATAGTTTTTTAAAATAAATCAGATACAGGGTAGTTGGCAAAGCAGGTTTTCTCAAATAGTGTTGATGTCAGGGCTCCCATTCACAACAAATAGACGAAGTTCAAATCAATGCTCTCGAATTTAACATTTTGAAGAAAAACTCTGGCAAGTTGTTGTTTTTCAGTCATAGGACTGCTGTTTGTGGACGCTATTTCAGATTAAAGGTCACACCAAAGGGTCAAAAACTAACTTCTGATTTACCAGCAGAGTTGGCAGATGATGAAAAACTAGATGGAAAAATGCTTTGCATATTTTTAACCAGCCAAAATCTTAAATTAAGATTGTCTTTTGTACCCCATTAAGATAATAAAAGGTAAGATACAAACAAATCACAGTTTTTAATTCATTTTTAACTACTTGAAGTTGGTTTAAAATTTATATGAAGTCTTAATCCTCGAATATGAAGTTCATATTGAGGATCTAAAAAGACTCTCCACCTTAGAAAAAAATTCTGTTTTGTAACTCATATAGACAGAAATTACTTTTTTTGACAAAAAGAAAATGACAATATAATCAAATAGATGTCAAGATTTAAAAAGTTTGAATACACTCTTGAATATACTTTTAAAACTCCCTTTTTTAGTTTTAAAAGCTGCATGTCTTTGTGATTACGTCACACTGTACAGTATATTTACAAGTAGTGTAATGACAAAAAGTAAGCGATTATAAACATCAGATTTAGAATAAAATCTGAAAAAGTAGAAAAAAAGTTCACTCTGTCTAGGAATTCTTATACAAGTCTGCTGAATGATGATGTACGTTAACTACTTATTTGTGTGGCATGTAACCATGGTTACATAAAGTCCCTTTTTCGAGGGGGTGAAGGGAGTCTGTCCCAAAGCCCGCAGCAAAATCTGAACCCCCCACTTTGATTCAGTGCGCTCCATTCAGTCGTGGGCGTGACATCAAATGGAGTGCACTAGGTACTGAAAGGGAAGTGGGAAGGGACCAGTTTGAGAATGAGCCAGGGAATGAAACACACAGTCAGGCAGGCTATGGGGTAGATTGAGATATCAGTTCATTCACATTATTAATATGTATTTACATCATTTTGTTAAACAAAGCCAGATGAAGCATTATGCATAAACATTTCCCAAAGTCACCCTCATAGAGAGGATTGGTTCCTTGGTATCAAGGATTTACTAGCTATCTGTTTGTGTCTCAACATACTCCAGCTACATGACTGTTTCACTAATTCTGTAGGTCCCATAAGGTTTCCTCAAGCTATGCAGATATGCTTAAATTATCAGGAATCACCTTTATTACAACATAATTAATCAACTAAACTGCTCGTTATCACAAGCACATCACTATATACACACATACACATGCACACGCACGCACTCTCTCAACACATATACCCAAACCCCAAGACAGATGTCACCCCAAGGAACAACTTCATTTATTTTTCTTGCTGCCGGCTCTACATGGTGACCTTTCTAAGCGCTAGGTGTGGAGCTGTGGGACTGAGTGGCTGGAGCAGCGCCTCACAGGGAGGTGTCTCTGCCTGCAGCCAAACTCATCGACATTCATATTTTCATGTCCCTCGACTGCAGAGCCGGTGTGTTGGTTCTTGTGTGTGTCAGTGCGCATATGTGTACCTTGCACTTACACAATCATGGCTCGGCTCTTCTGGGTTTTTTATTCTTTATTTTAGTGTCAACAGTCCTTGTGAGCGTGTCTCGTTATTGTTGCACTGGTTGTGGTGTTTTTAGCATATTAGTGCTCCAGGCGACTGTAGCAGTTCTCGAGAGAATATAAGAGGTTGATGCGCATAGTGTAGTTTATAATGTCCTCTTAGGAGAGAAGGCGAGAGGGAGGCAAATGTGGGGGCAAGCTTTTAAAGTGTGACGCATTGGATGATATGGATATTTGCAGTGAAAAAACAAATTTTAACCCTAAACACTTGTGCCAAGGCTAGAGAAGGAGTCATAACACTCTGAGTTAAATAATCTCAGTTTTATTCTTCAAAAAATGTTTCATCTACCCTCCATGTGATGTACGCACTCTGCGGTGGAGTTAATACGCTGCCTCGCGTTACAATCCTTCTGCAGCTGAAGATAAGAATATTCAAAAGACGACTGTTTCTTACATTTCTACAGTTTGGCAGGAAACGTTCCAACAGAAGCAACACAGAAGCCTCAAAGGTCAAATTACGCTGTTAACCTCAATTACCCTGTGCTTTACAACAGGGGCTAGAGGTCACAGCCATGATGAGGAGTTTCATTTTTAAATAGCCAGAGGTGCTTTCGGAAAGATAGCATCTCTCTCACTCTTTCTCTCTGTTTGTCTGTCTTGTTTGCCCTGTCTTCCTCTCTTTACCCATTATCACCTCCTGACACAGCGAAGCTGACTGATTAAGGACTGGATCAGTCCCACAGCTGATGTTTGTGCTGTGTTTACTAAGTGCCCAAAGTTCAGTCTGTCCCGGAAACAATCAAACCGTAACCAGTCTCAACTTGTCTCAGCATTTTTTCAGGCGCTGGTTTCACTGGGTCATCAGATTCAAGATTGAAAGCATATCTGAACATGTCTAAAGTTATTTTGCCAAAAAGATGTAGTTTGCAGTCCGTACTCAGCGTTTGGTCCCCTAAAAATGTTCTTATGAAATGAACAAACTGAAAAACTAAAACTCAGTGGGTTCACAGTATATCACATTCAGTGCCAAACTTGAGAGGCGGCCTGATTGCATATGAAGTCAGTGCAGAAGCAGAAATGATTCAAGCAGATGCATATTTGCTTCTGTTTGGGAATTTTCTCCTCTGGACCCCATCCAGCCTTCTCAAATGACTGGTGAATGCTGAAGTCCCTTAAGCACTGTCAGTATTTCTAAAAAGTAGGATTTTTTTATGTTAGCTCCACAAATTCTTGGATTATCCTTAACACACAGTTTAAATCAGAGCACAGATAACCACTGAAAACTACAGGAACATAATCAGAAATACCTTTTAACGCAGCATACAACAGCTTTGCTTTTCTCTACTGTGTTTTGTCCTGTTGAGGTTGAGTTACAGTAATTCCATGGATGTCATTGTACCAAGACCAACCTGTAATATTTAATGAGGTACAACGGGTGCAGGTTGAATGTGAATTAAGTTGAGTAAAGACAGTGGACTGAATATTTTGTGAGGTACAACCTGACTTATTGAAGTGCAGATTGATGCATAATTTCAAGTTTGAAATATTGTTGATACCTGCATCAAATCAAAGGCTGTGATGATTTCATGGACAAAAGTAATGACAGGTATTGTCTAGGAAATACACTGACAAGTTTGAAAAAAATCACAGATAATAAAAAAACTGAAAATTTAATTAACTGGCTGATGTTAGTGGCGGACCATCAAACATTCAAATTCCACGATGTGTTCCCTGCTGTGCATCTAATCTGTCTGTCAAATACAAGCTTTGCATTCCTGTGACAGGCTGAGTCAGTTAAGGGGCACAGTGTTAGCTTAACAAGTTTGCTGTGGGTACAAATTTACACTTCCTTACAGCATATTTTTCCTTTTTATAGATTTTTTTTCACATGTTTTACATCAACAACAAAGCCACAACCAGCTACCGATCAACATAACATTTACATTTGACTTTCAGCTTTACTACTGTTGTTCAAAACCTTGATTTATCCTTGTTTGATATCATATTATAACATATTTTGTCGTTTCATCAACTTTAGATCGAGTGTTTTCATTGTGCTTTAAGTCACAGACAAAAATATTCTTATTGTGCCCTCAGACAGTGTTTTTTCCTGACTCGGAGTAAGGAGACTTACCGCTTTTATCTGTGTGTGATGGGATTTCTTTACCTTAGTAGATCAGGAAGGACAGTACAGTAGAAGAACATTTATTGGAGAGTCTGGGTTTGGAGTGTCTTGATACAACTTTTTTACTTTCCATATGATACCGATATTGTAGCCTCCAGTACTATGTGATATGGATATTGATCAGATATTGGAACAAACTTGTGCAGAACTAGTTTTGCACTTAGCTGCAATGTCTTTTTCTGACTTTAACGTAAAATAATGGCGGCCGCCTCCACCTAATTTTGTGCCGCCCCCGGCCAGAGCGATTGATTTCGCTCAACACAGCGTAAAGCTCCAGCTGTGTTGATTGAGTGTATGATGTCCCTCTGCTGCAGCAACGTATTTTAACTGCAGTTGCAGCGTTGCGCCACTATAGAGGCGCTATATCAACAGCAGTGCACCGGAAAGACCTGAAGCCTCTACCGAAGACGAAACGGATCGAATCATGTTTTTTCAAGTTTTTTTTCCCGCTAGTTGGTGCTATCGGCGTCCTGATTTTCCCTGGCGGATGGTACAGACAGGTAAATACTGCTTGTCTTTTTTGCATCCAAGCATGACGTGTTTATTTTAAAAAAAAGTTTCCTCCGTTTTTTAGCGTTGCAGATATGACAGGCAAAATCAGCCAGTACTTTAAAAAGCGACCTCGCAAGGAGGAAAGTCAAGAGTCCAGGTGAAACACAGCAGAGAAAAAACGTAATAGGCAGTTAAAATGCTATAATTCATAGTGGTGACAACGTGGAAATTTGTGTCAGGTCTGAAAGTACTTCACAAGGGACTGGTGATCGCGAGGGTCAGAATGCAGGACAGGACGAGTCGGCGAGGCGAGGGTAATTAATTAATTAGTTTCCAATTAGGAGCATAACAACGCAAAGCCAACGTGTACGTGGTTTTTATTCCTCTTTCCAGATTTTCTCAAAAACACAGAGCCAGTGGCTTTGACAAGCAATGGCTCAATCAATTTACCTGGCTCAGGCATACTGAGGAAGGCATGCACTGCTATTTATGCCAAAAGCACTGTGCCCCAACACAGCAGGCAATTGCTGCCTCCTTAGTGAGACAGCCATCAACCAACTACAGGCTGGACACATTAAAAAGACATGAGGTGACAGCCATTCACAAAGCAGCAGAAGAGAAGGAGAAATATATTAAAGATGGTAGTACCTAAAAACACTCAACTAATAAATAATAACTAATAATTAATAAAAAATAAATAAAACTAAAAGAACATAGTTTAGATAGTTTAAGAAATAATTAGTTGTCGTTTTTTTTTTTTTAGGGAGGACACTGCAGCGTATACATATATATAATATATGATTGAAAACACTATCACTCTTCATGTCTGTATCAGAATAAAAACAAAAATACTTAATGCATGATGAATTGTTTTGTTTAAGGTGAAGACACCTCTGTGGAACAGACTGAAGGAGAGGCACTTGGATGTCTGTTGTAAGGTGGCTGTTGATGGACCAGACCAGGAGGCCTTGGACTACAAGGAGTGCATGAGGAGGTTCTACAGAATGAAAAAGAGGAGGCTGAAATGTTCTGTCTGGTTGCGAGATGTGTGGATGAAGTGTACTTTCAATTTAAAGTTGCCAGCTGATTTGTGTATGTATATAGTTTTAATAAATGAATGCTTTAACATGATAATGGTCACACTCTTTTTTGAACTCTTAACTTAAAGTATGTTGCCTGTAAAAGAAAGTGAGACAGTTGAATTTACAAATATATGCACGTCATGGCGCATGGTCAGGATGGTGCCACCTCTGCCTCAATTTGAGCCAGGAAAAACCCTGCTTGCGCTGCAATGTCTTTTTCAGACTTAATCAAAAAATACTGCCACATGGCCGATATCACTCCTACTCCTTGCTACTTTGTTAGTACCTTAGTACACACTGTTGTTGTGATTACTTGGGCTCTGCATGCTGGATAGAAGTGCTGGAGCGGCATCTCGAATGGACTGCTTGTATCGGAGGGCTGATATCAGAGATTTTAGGTGCAGGCCGATATAATCTGATATTTGTTTTTTTGCTGATATCGGACTGATATCAGTATCGGTTCGGGACATCCCTAGTCTGGGCTGAATTTTCTTACCAAGGTATGGAAGTGTAATACTTCAGATGTAGATCTTAACTTATCTCTTTTGATTTATTCAATGGATGAGTTGAACATTTTTTGACTGAAAGTAATGGCTAAAATGAAATGACTTTTGATTGAGGGTTGAAGTGCTAAAAAGAGTAATCTGTGACTTACACTAATGGGTAATTTTCTTCTTCAAAACTAGGACTAAATGTTTAATAGCTGCCAGAATGAACAGTTATCAGAGGTCTTTGAGTTTATTTATCAGCTACAGTAAAGATATGCCACCTAAGGCGAACTGCTGATAGGATTGTAAAAATCGATCTGATAACAGATTTTAACAACTACACAAAGATATGTGTAATGTTGCTTGAAAGCATCTTAGACACCCGCAACCTGAGACCCACAATCCAATGGACAGTGACAGCCCTTTTATGAGGTGGATGGTGGAACATGTACATTACCATAAAAAGCACATTAGAGCAGTAAAGCTTGGTGAGAGGGGAATTTTCTCACATTTACTGACTTATTGATAATTGTTGGCTTTGTGAAAACATAGGTATAGACGTACACATGCAAAATACAAACTCAAGCACCACGCTCCATACACACCAGCCTCCCCTCTGATTTACACACTGTTAGCAGCACGACAAAAAATCTTGATCAAAATATGGCGCTGAACAAAAATTCATTTGATAAGAGGACTACCTCCAAAGTTGTTTGTTTTGTTTTTGGGTAATCACTCAATTTAGACAATATTATTGATATATTTAAAGCTAAAGACAAGACTCTGCTAATGATTCACTCCCTTGTAGTAACAAAAGAGTTGCAGTGAGACCCTGTTTGGTGGTATCTTTTGCTTTGTGTTCTTTGTTGGTAGCTGAAGGTATTGTGAGATGTTAGATCATAAAGCTCCAGAGCCTTTTTTTTTCAGTATGTTTGCAGAGATGTGTTGATTCTTCCCATGTGCTCACTTGTTTCCATCGATTGGGTCTCTGGGACACGCAGATAAATGCTATTTAAGCACTGAAAGGTGAGGTAATGGTGGTGCTATGAGAAAGTAACTATTGAGTGTTTTGGTAATCAATGACAGAAAAGTGTCATGAATGGAAAGAAGGATATTTGGAGTCAATAGCCGCAGAGAGAGAGAGGAGAAGAAAGAGAGAAAGGTTGTTAGGGTTATAATGCGTAGGACTTTAATTTTGTGTTATTTTTTGATTGTTGGGTGTCATCAAGAGGAAAACCATGACAAATGTGCCCCACATTTATGAAAAAATAAATGCAAAAGATGTAAACTAAACAAAACTGAGAACGCTTATGTAACCTTCAAAATTATGGTAAACAATGTTGCTGAAAATAGAAACTATCAATACAATTATAGGCATGTACAAAGCAAAATTATCAATTAAAATGATTATAGACACAAACTTGAAACATTCAGTCCTTTTTTTCCCCCCAAAGTAAAAAAAAGAAAATATCAGACCTAGGCTTCCTAACTTACTTCTTTGGCTTTCCTCATTTTTATCAGTTTATCTGTCCCTTTCAAATATGAACAAAAAAATCAAATCCAAAATAAATAAGTAAATACTCTCAGAGTTGATCCGTCATGTCAGCCAGTCAGTCATGATTGGGGAGCAGCAGCCAGTGGTCTGAAAACTAGAAAACCAGTCAAGCAGTACTGAGGGATTAAACTACCCTGACTTTTGGCTATTTGGTCATTGTTAGCAGAGCTCTCCTTAGCGTTTGCTGAGACAAACCATTGGCCATGTACAGAATGGATAATGTGGCTTCATTTCCCCCTACTATAAGCTTTGATGTCAAGAAACTGCCTTAGTGTGTTGACATGGTGTGCTGGTGCAGCCAAGACAGGAGCAGAAGGAATGAATACCTACCAACCAAAATACACATTTAACTTCATCAGAACTCCCTTAGGTCGGTATAGTTCACAGCAGGACAGATTCCTCTGTTGATCTGGGGCAGGCACTGACAGCTGTGTCGATTTTTAATATGGAATTTACACATGGAACTGGAGTACTTGCATTGGACATGATGCAATGTCAAAGCAAAGCAGCTCGGAGCTCCAAAAGGAGGGGGAGCTGGGCAAAGAGACTCCTTAAAACATGATCAGTAAAACCTCTCACGAGTTTCTGATTCCATTCTGTGTTAACGTGTTTAATTGTTTTCTGGTTGTAGCAATAATGAGTCAGTTAAATTCTTTTAAACCTGTATGATCAAAATAATCTGATGGTTGACTTAAAGTTTGTTCAGAAAAAAAGGGCGTTCAGTGATACTACATACTGTAGACATGTTATACATCAGACTTATGAAGTGAGGTTATGCATGCAGTTTAGCGTACATTGTTGCACTCCGTTGATGCACCACTGTACTGAACATTGAGTCATCAAGAGAAATAAAGTCCTGTTTTACTGTTCTCCTTCATTTCATCACAAGTGCCTTGTTTTGTTGAAATAAGGCTTATTTACAGTTCGAAAGACAAGGCCTGGAGCGCTTAACAGTCTCCTCAGGAGCCTGGACTAAAGTGCCACAGAGCTGGTGTCCCATTTGACCAGTGACCCATTCAACCAGTCAACATTACTTGACAGTGAAATTAGAATCATTGTCATTGGCTGCTTCTTGAATAGAGACCTATTAACACCGAGGGTGTGCATGTGTGTGTGTGTTAATGTGTGGATGCACAGTGGTGGTGATGATGGGGGCTGGTGTATGAATGGGAGTAAGTGGAGATGCATGGATTGCATGGTAAGAATAAGTGATGTATGTGTGTGTGAGCATGTTTCTGCTGGTGTGTACACATGCAGTCATATACATGCAGTGTATGTGTGTGTCTATGTGTCTCACAAGTGACACCTGCACTGCAGAGGAAGAGTTTCCAAGGTCAGGGATAAATCAACAGAAATTACACAGCTGCCAAAACCTATTACTGCAGAACCGTGCAACACAGGGCTTACCCAATGGGCATAGACCGCTCATCGAGTGTATTAAGCAAACACACATGAATCTGAGTACAGAGGACGTGTGTGCGTGTGTGTGTCAGTGATGCACAATATCATCAGTATAATATCAGTATGGGCAGATGATATTTAAAGAAGTTAAAAAGAAAGATGTATAACTGATTTTAAAAAAAGACAACATTTCTCAGTTATGGCAGGATAAAATGTTGTATTTCTTATTTTATGTCTTTAAGACAGCCATAATAGAAGTACCATATTTTCCGGACTAAAAGTCACACTTTTTTTCATAGTTTTGCTGGGTTTGCGACTTATACTCAGGTGCGACTTATATATTTTAAAATACATAATTTCACATGTTTGTTATTTTCACACTGACAGCTGTGATAGGGCACTCTAGGCAGGTGTACCAGTATCTGCTACTCCTGTACCACTGAAAATTTAAAAATTAACATTGACTCATTTAGACAACTGAGAAAGACTAATTACAAATGCCGCCAAAAAGAAAATCCTATTCTGCAGATTACAAGCTGCAAGTAGTGAAATATAAGTTAGCACACCGTACACCTATCCAGCCTGTTGTTCTCTATTGTAGTGTTACTATTATAACTTGCCTTTCAAGATAAAATGTCTGTTCTTGGTCTTGGATATTGTAAAATGAATTTTCCCCCTAAAATTGCGACTTGTACCGCTATATGTTTTTTCTTCTTCATAATGCACTTTTTAGCTGGTGCGACTTGTACTCTGGAGCGACTTATAGTCCAGAAAATACGCTAACTCAAAAATTCAAGGAGGAATCTGGTGTTGTTTAGATTAAAAAAGGTGTGCATATCCACATTGTTACTAGCCCAATTAAGTTTTTAGAATATTAGCATAAGGGCTAAAGGCTAACAATCACTGTAGAAAGGGTCAGCCAGGGTCATGCATTTGAAGGTAATTTTGACTAACTCCGCTATGCTTGGTGTAGGTGTCCACTCTATTTGCAATTCAGAAAGCCCATTTATTATAATACTATTGTTGCAGATGACCCAGTTCTTCGGCCTGCAGAGAAAGTAGTGAACGACCTCTGGACGTCAATGTATTTCATGGCTAATATCATATTTTATAACGATTTCTTTATAACCTCAATAATGGACATATCCATTCCCAGTGCTCTCCTCCCCTCTGCATGAACTTGAGTTAAAAGCAGCCACATTAACCACAAACTATCATCACTAATCTTCAACATGAAAGAATAACAGAGAAATCTAACTCTGTTGATGGGCTGTGAAAACCTCAAAGCAACATGAATAAATTTACTAAAAGCTGCTGTCATCTGGCATGAAAACCAAAGCGTTTGAAAAGATGTTCAGCTCACAAGTCATGCTGCTCCTGACCCACCCCAATACTCATTTTCACACAGAGCTGAATATAACCCTTCACAGCAATCACTTGGCCATTTCACAGTTATTCATCCACGCTAGCTGCACACAGGTAGAAAACCAAGGCCAGGCTTTTGTGACAGTAATTCACATCAAACTATGAAATTGTGAGGACAGTGACAAAGTAGTTAACAACCAGATGAAGGCCTAAGGATAATGAAAACATGAGTATTCATCCCAGAGTGACACTAGACATAGAGGTCTTTCTTCGGCTATGAGTAGATAGAGATACAGCAGTGGTTCAAAACAAAAATCAGGCCAGTTACATCTCCTATTTATTTTGCAGGCAAGCAACCTTCATCAGGCATTTCATACAATGCATCACAACGC